TCTCTCTCTCTCTCTCTCTCTCTGTCTCTCTCTCTCTGCCTCTCTCTCTCTCTCCTTCTCTCTCTCTTTCTCTCTCAGAAGAGGGCATCGGATCTGATTACAGATGGTTGTGAGCCACCATGTGCTGGGAATTGAACTCAGAACCTCTGGAAGAGCAACTACTGTTTTTAAATGTTGGGTCATCTCTCCAGCCCCAGTTGTCTCTCTCCTAAATAGAAATGGAAATGTAAGCTTTATGGAGTCATTTGATGATCACTGAGATAATCACTGAGACAATGTTTGTGAACACATTTACTTACCATCAAACAACATCTAAAAAGTGCTGTGTTTGAAGCCAGGTTATAACGGTTTTTTGAGCTTGTATGCCCAGCATTATTGTATATCTCTTGTGACTTCTGAAAACCCACTCAGATCTTTAGAGACACCCACACAGCCTTTGTTCAGGTCCCTGCAGTGATCATAACCCACCTACAAGTAATTTTATGTAATCACTGCTTATGATTCCTGATCAGTTCCATTCAGTGACACAAAGAAACTGTCTGCAAACATAATACACACATCTGGACAGGCAGTGCCGCCTCCTTTCCCAGCATCCAGCAGGTGGCTCCAGGGTGAGATGAGCATGAAGCTGGCAATGCTGGTGGGGATGCTGGTGAGGGTGCTGGTGAGGGTGCTGCTGGGGATGCTGCTGGGGATGCTGCTGGGGATGATGGTGGGGGTGCTGGTGGGGATGCTGGTGAGGGTGCTGCTGGGGATGCTGCTGGGGATGATGGTGGGGGTACTGGTGGGGATGCTGGTGAGGGTGCTGGTGGGGATGCTGGTGAGGGTGCTGGTGAGGATGCTGGTGGGGATGCTGGTGGGGATGCTGGTGAGGGTGCTGGTGAGGGTGCTGGTGGGGGTGCTGGTGGGGATGCTGGTGAGGGTGCTGGTGGCAGTGCTGATGGGGATGCTTGGTGGTACATGGGATCTCGGAAGCCTGCTTCATCCGTTGTTGAACCTGGGCACTCGGTTTCAGTGAATCAGTGGGAATGAGGACAGAAGTGCCTAGGCCTCGTCTCACAGAACATTCTCCATTATTCTTAGTTTTGTCTTTTCGTCATAAACAAAGCATCTGGCTTCTCCTCTAGACAGCAATGGGTAATGTTGTTGAGCAATCTCAGCCATGTTTTAATGAGCAGGCTGAGATCTCCCCTCAGCTACCCTGTCAGCCCTCTTCCTACCTTCTCACAACAGCTAGTACTTATTGGAGGTTTTCTAGTGCCTGGGACTGGAAAGGGTGCCATGCAGGTAGTATGCTAACCTATGAAAGGAACCATTCCTTTGCTTTTGTTTATTTTTTTTTAAAGATTTATTTATTTATTATATGTAAGTACACTGTAGCTGTCTTCAGACACCCATATGAGGGCATCGATCTCATTGTAGATGGTCGTGAGCCACCATGTGGTTGCTGGGATTTGAACTCATGACCTCTAGAAGAGCAGTCAGTGCTCTTAACCGCTGAGCCATCTCACCAGCCCTGCTTTTGTTTATTTTGTTGTTTTTAGTTGTGCTGGAGATCAAGCCCAAGGCCTTGCTTTATGCTAGGCAAGCAATGTGCCATTAGCTAAAGTAGAAATTCTCTTTTATCAAATGTTGTTTAGATTTTATTGATTTTAGTGTGTTTGGAGGGTGATTCAGTGAGAGGCAAGAAAATAATGTGGAGAGTAATAGACAGCTGGCATTGTCCTCTGGACTTCACTCATGTGCCATGGTAAGCACACACATAAACACACTCACATGCACACTCACATACACACACACACACACACATTCTAACAAAAATCCACTCCAAAGACATATTAATTTGGTACTTCCTGAGGAAGAAAGTACTAAGTCTGTTTTCCATAATTAACTATTAAATTTTGGCTCAAACAGAAACTTTATGTACAATATAGACGCTGCAATTTGTAACATACAGAAGTCCCAATTCTGAGCTGAGACATTCTGGGCAATGTTCCTTGCTGTTGGGTATGGCGTGATAGTATGCTCAGTTAAGCCACATAGAGTGTTCCAAACCACGGCTGCAGTGGAAGCAGATGATGCACAGCACGGGCATGCAGGACCCAGAGCTCCATGGTTCAGTACGGGCATGCAGGACCCAGAGCTCCATGGTTCAGCACGGGCATGCAGGACCCAGAACTCCATGGTTCATTTACATGTTTGATTTTGAATTTTTGGTTGTCATGACTCCAGAAACCTTGCCCTATTGTCCAGTTTTTCATGATGCACACCTTCAGCTACATGACCCCATATGACAGCGACAGCCAGTGTGAGCAGCTCAGATATGACAAGTAAGAATAACAGAAATTGATAGCTTAGTAACAGAAACATGTTATTTAATGAACATATGAAAAGGCTTCAGAAGAACTACGACTTTACTTGACTTGTTATTTTTATCGTTTGTTTTTTCTGATGGTACAGGGAATCAAAACCAATGGCTCACACATGCTAACCAAGCACTGCCACTGAGCTGTACTCAGCCTGTTCTCTAATGCTCTCAGAAAAGTCATAGCAAACCATACCAAAGAGTGCAAACACATATTGATTTCATAAGAATATTAATATCTCAATAAAATTGTTAAAAGTGTGTGTGTGTGTATGTGTGTGTGCGTGTACACGTGTGTGCAAGTGCCCACAGGCTCTAGAAGAACTTGTAGGATACCTACAGCTTGACTGTAGGCAGTTGTGAAACACACATACACACCCCATGATTGGCTGAGGCCAATCTTGGGGCCTCTGCAAGAATAAATAATTGTTCTTAACCATTGAGCCATTGCTTCAGCATCTCATTCATCAGATATTTTAAAAGGATACATACCAATATATGCCTTTCTTAAATTAACTCTTCTCCTGCATCCTGTCTCATTTCAGATCCCCCACCTGTGCTACGGGTTGATGACCGGCAGCGTCTGGCCAGAGAACGCCGTGAGGAACGAGAAAAACAGCTAGGTAGTCCAAGCCCTGAACGCATATGTCTGGTCATTCAGGGACCGCCTTGTCGAAAGGCTAATTTTTCTGCTCTAGGACAGAGACACTTATCATCCCTGTAACATCCGTGTGTTTGTGATTTGGCTGGTGGTTGGTGAAACAGCCATGTGTGTGATCCAAGCAAACGGCTAGCACTAAGTGACAATCAACTGCAGTCTACAACAGGAAAGAAGAAAGAGTACAGGACAGTGAACGTGATGCCTGCTTTTAAGCACAGAGGCATGAGGCTGCCGCACTTCCTGCTGTTGACTTTACAGACAGGAAAGGCAGAGGCCTGATGCCAAGGTCCCTGCTTCTCGCCTTGTCACCAGAGGCCCTTGTGAAAGGTCAGCAGCTCCGGTGTGGGCTGAAGCCACCTGGCAAGCTGAGTCACAAGACTGGCTTACCAGGAAGTGTCGAGTGGTTTCCCTGTTCTAGATCTTGGCTAGGGATGCCAGTGCCAACTCTCCCTTAATCGCTGTCTTTGTTGGTTTCTTCAGAACTGAACTTGTATATTGCACGATCTTATGGTTTCAGTTCAACAACAGTGGTGTGAGAAATAAGAGTGAGGGTGAGAGTAACTGAAATGCTCTCTATTTGAAATTGTCAAAAATAGAAGTTAAGAAAAAAAATGGTTACTGGATATATGTAGATGTTTTGTAACTAAGAGTGGGCCTGCGATCTCTGCGGGACGTGGCCTATGCTTTGCTGAGCTTGCACAGTCTACAAGAGTTAGTTCATTTGTGGGAGAACCCAGCCTCTCTACCCTATTCCTTTTACTGTTCCTGATCAAGAACCCAAATGTCTGGCACTAGTGGCCTGGTGACATTTTTTAGCACAGGCCTGTTTCTCTTCCTTGCTACAGTAGCAAGATGACTTCATTTCATTAGCAGGATGTCATTTTGTTTGTTGCTGTGCTCTTTACTTTTGTTCATTTTTTTACTTAATTTTTTTCTCTGTGTATATGTTTGGTGTGTGTGTGTGTGTGTGTGATTTATATATGTGGGTCCCCATGCCATAGTGTGTGTTTGGAGGTCAGAGAACAACTTTATGGAGTTGGTTCACTGTTTCTACCGTTATGTAGATTTTGAGAATCAAGTTTAGGTCTTAAGGCCTGTGAGAGACCACTTCATCCACTGAGCCATCTCCTCAGCCATTTTTGTTTGATTTTGCTTTTACTGACATAGGATCTTATTATACTCAGGGTAGACTCTTTAGTGCTGGGATTTCAGGCATGGCACACCATACCTGGTGTGGCTGAGATGTTTTTAAACACATTTTCACTAACTGGATGGGAAATAATTAAGCTCTACTGTTTTCTGAGCCTGGTGTTTCTTCCTAGACCCAATGCTCCCAGCTTCAGCCAGGCTTCCTGCAGACAGGCGGTTCCTGGAAAGCAGGCTAGCTGTGGCCTTAGGTCCTTGACCTCCTCCTGTGGACGCTGCTCCATACATAATGTTGGTTAGAAAGGTGGCCAGCACTGGAGTATTTAAGAAAAAAAAAGGTTTTAATGAATAGGAAACCTTTGAAATATGAACAATATAAGAACAAGAAACGGTTGGTAGTGTCAGCTGCTACTATGCTTTCAGACTTTGTTGTGCTACGCGTGTGGAAATGTTTCAATTATTAGAAAACTTCAAAAAATTAATGGCCAGTGTTTGTGATTATCTTCTGTTGAATGTAGGTGGAAATTAACATTTCATCTGGCGGCATGGTGTGCTTGTGCTGGTGAGCAAATAGGCAGGGTCAATTATTTTCTATGTTAAGTGTCTGAGTTGTGCTTTAGTGGTCAGATTGTGTATCATGTGGATGTTCTTCCTGTAGCATCCTTTAGTTCTGCATATAAATCCAACATAGTTCTTCCTGTATGAGACTGTTCTGTGGATTGGTTGGACACAGGGCATATGCTCACTGAAAGCTTTTGTTTCCATCTTAAAAGCTTTATAAGTGGTCTCCTGTATCACTCACTCCACCCAGATCAATTCAGGCTGTTCCTTGAAACTGCCTCCAGTTTGCTGCGTCTCTCTTGTTGACTGACTTCCAAGCTTTAATTTCAGGTGTGTTGTTGTTGTTTTGTTTTGTTTTTTAACTCAGGGAATTTTCTTTTCTTTGTCCTGATCATTTGTTTGGATGCGCCCAGCTCTCTTCGATGCTGTGCACAGTTCTCATTTCTCCAGCTAGTCATAAGGCAGCAGGTGGCTCCCTACTATCTGAGACAGAACTTCCTTCTCTTTAGGGTTTTTGACGTAGGTCTCTTCTCTGTAGCTTAGACTGGCCTCGAACCCATAGCCCTTCTCCTGTGTTAGCCCTCTGAATGCCAGGAGTACAGATGAGAGACATGACACTCAGTTGTAAACTTAGCTTCTGTACAGATACATTGTCATCTGTCTCCAAAACTGACTCATCTTGGTAACATGTCAGTAAATGCCCTACCTGGAATGTTCTTCCTACTTCTGTTTCAAGCCAGCAGGCTCTCTTGCTTGATGCCAGGCCCTCACTTCCTCTCATTGCCACTTTGTTCTGGTCAAGACCACCCAGTTAGAATATGGCTACCATGTCACACCTCTGCTTCAGACCTCTTGGTGGCTTTCTGTCTCACCCAGAAGAAGCCAGAATCCTGTGGTTTGCCTCCTGTCCTTAAACTCACCAGACACATCCTTGAGTCGTAACCGTACTAGTTACTGTTGTCTTCACGTGGACTACAACCTGTATAGCTCATGTCTCTGTTCAGTTTTTACTGAAATACTGCCTTTTTAGTGGGGTATTTCCTGACTACCTTACTCAGATTAGCGGCTTTCTCTTTAGAACTCCTCCTTTCTCTCTAGTTCTGCCAACATGTAAACAGGTACATACCTAATTTATCTGCTGTTACGTCAGGCTGCACTACGATACACGTTCCACAAAGGAAAGGGGTTTGTACCTTTTTCAATTTCTAAAGCCCACAGAAAAACCTAGAAGCCATGTGCATAGTAAATGCCCAACAATTAATTGTTTGTTGAAAGTTAAATCAAGTAAATCTGTGCATTTTAATTCAGGTAAACATAGGAGGTATCGCAAGTCAGTGTCATTGCTGATCATCATGCAGTACCTGATTCAACTGTAGTTCTGGCTCATGGGGGCTAAGTTCTTCAAGCTTAACCAGAGGCTCAGATGAACAAGACAGATAGTCTGGAGAACAACTGTACTTTGAATCTCATTGACTTCCATGTGTGTTAATACACCTGCAATATTTTGACAAAGTTCAAGAGAATATTTAAGGAATAGTTAACAACAATAAAAAGCTAATCCTCCATATTTCGGGAGATACAAAGTTTCTTTTTTGGAAATAATATAGATTTAAGAATATAGAAAATAATTTAAAGTATTAGGTTTAATTTTTCAAATGTTTTAGCATACTTTTAGTAAACACCTACTTATTTAATCTTTTTCCAAATCTTGTGTTGTGCATGCATGTGTATGTGTGTGTTCTGTTGTGTTTGTTGTTGTTCGTGGTTTCTACAGTGTCACTCATGCTGTAGGTAAACAGTCTAGCACTGAGCTGCACCCCTAGCCCTCTGAGACCAAAATATTTGTGACTGTATTTCTAGTCCCAGTTAGGGCTATGTAGGCTTTTCTGGGTTCTATAAAACCATGGGAGAGGGATGTAGACAGCTTAGTGTGTAAAGGCACCTGACACCAAACCTGACTCCATGTGTGGCTGTGGGACGAATGTGCCCATACATACTCACACATATATGAACAGAGAAAACAGAATAAATAATGTAATTTAAAACTTTAATGATGAAAGATTATTACAGTGTGTGTGTGTCAATCATTGATACAGATCTTGTTGAGCTTCTAAATCTTTAGCTTGTGTTAGCTTTTTTTTTTGGTTTTTCGAGACAGGGTTTCTCTGTGTAGCCCTGGCCCCTGGCTGTCCTGGAACTCACTCTGTAGACCAGGCTGGCCTCGAACTCAGAAATCCGCCTGCCTCTGCCTCCCAAGTGCTGGGATTAAAGGCGTACACCACCACTGCCTGGCTTGTGTTAGCTTTCATAGCTAAGTTTAAAGCTGTTCTAGAGATCTATCAGAATATGTTTTCAAAATAACACAATAATATAGAAATGGCTTTGGCCTTGGAACAAATTTCAGTTTAACTCTATCAGACTCTGCCCTTCCAGCCATAGCTTTATTACTTTGCCTTTTTATCCCATTCTGATTTTAATGTGTTATCAATTCAGGGACAGCAGTATTAGTCTAATTGAGAGCATCACTTCAACCTGGTATAGGATGTTATCTCAAATCAGTATTAACAGCCAACCAACGATGGTGCGACCCCAGCTAACGTTGTGTGTGAAGCCCCTTCTGATTTCATACTTAACATTTGTTGAGCAGTTTTCTTTTGAGGAAAAGTTTGGAAACTTTAGTCACCCAAAAAAGAGAGACAAAGGGCAGAAAGGGAAAGGAGGAGAGGAGTGTGTCAGAGTCCAGAAAGCAATCCTCCGAGTAGCCTTTCATCCAGACTGCAAGTGTGCAAACCTAGCAGGTCTGTGACTCCTCTTAGGGAAGAGGCAGCTCTGGATCTAGATGCCTCCTGTGGGCTCATTCCAGAGCAGCTGTGTCGTGAGTCAGCCAGTTGGAAGACTGGGTGCTTGTTTGTGGATGGTTTAGGTAAGCAGAGTCTGAATAGTCTTAGGATCAGATGAATAATGTGACAAACTCATTATCTTTTTACTTCTAAATTTACTTTGCCCTTAAGTTTGAAAATAAAGATCTTAACCCTGAACAGTAAGAATCCTGTGGGCATGATAAAGTCTAAGAGTGACACTGAATAATGGGGACCTTCCCTATCTCTCCCCATGTCGAGGATGAACATTAGTCACTGGGAGGGGTTCCAGCCCAGACATTTTAACAGAATGGCTCTTTGTGCTTCCAGAGTCAGACAATCGGGAGTCTAAACTCCAGCTCCACCACTCACATGTCCTGAGACGTAGAGCAGGTTACCTCACTTCCCTGTCTCTCAGGCCTGTACATGACTAGGCTCAGCATGAAGTATGAGCTGAACCTCTTTCCAGGTGACTGTAATAATACAGGAGCATGGCCAGTCAGGTGACTAGGTGCCTGGAACTCCAGCCCTGATGGTTCTGAGCTGAGAAATAGCAGATGTGAGATGGGGTTCTGTGCTTCTAGGCAGGTCTCAGTGAGACAGCTGTGAAGAGTCCACTCGTCAAGCCAGACGCCATTGCTTTAGCAGTGGCTAAATTCAGATTAGAATTCTGGGAATTTCCTCTCTTCAAAGTTCTTGCTTTCTTATTTCAAGACCTTCTCCCCACACAAAAGGGGGTGCTACAGGGATCCTGTGTATGTAAGCCTCCATGCCAGCACCCCAGCTCCATTAGCCTTCAAGCATGGGAAATGGGCAAAGTGGGAAGGCCTCTTAGCCAGAAGACAGTGTGGGTGTCCTGCAGGCCAGGCCAGAAAGCTCTACACGCTCTTACCAGTCAAAGGGAAAGACAGTGTTATCATAGCACCTGCGACCCTGACACAGAAGGACGACCCAGAGCTCAAAACCAGCTTGGGCCACATAGTGACTTCCAGGCCTGCTTAAGCTACAGAGTGTAATTTTGTCTCAACTAAAATAAAGTAAAATAAAATGTAATATGGGAAAGCCTCACATTACATTCATCAAAACAATGAAAGTCTTGCTTGACAGTCTTTTATTCCTTAGCTCTCCTCCTCTCCCTCCCTCTTCATTCTCCACCCACTCCCATGTTATGAATGGACCCATGGTGTGTTTTAACAAATCCACTAAACACAGGCAAGACCAGAGGTAACACCTTGGGCACCAACAGTGGTGGCCCTCTGAGTGGAGCTTTCTACTCCTCAAAAGCTTTGACAGGAAGCAGCTTGAGTGCCAGGAGACCACCAGGCAGAAGGCAATATTGTAGCATCCCTAAAGGAGCTGGGGTTTTCTAGGTGTGTAGTGATAAAGCTGCTTGGGAAAAGCCAATAGAGTAGGTGTGAAGATATAAGCGACTAGACAGAGTCCGATGCAGACAGAGCGTAAGAGAGAGAGATGACAGCAGAGGGTTAGAGGAGGCACCGCTCAGCTGGAGGCTGTTTGTAAAGAGTGATGGTCACAGGGTCAAGCATCTGAAGGGGGCCATGGAGGAGGAGGAGCCTGCGCTTTCAGACTTTGCTAGCTGCTCCCAGGAGTCTGATATGAGAAAAGACAACCCTGAGTGGGCTCTGCTTTAGGATAGAGAGACCGTGGGCAGAGCCAAGCTTTGGAGTCAGCTGAATTAAAATCCCCACTCTAGTTCTTTTGCACCATTTGTTCTTGGGAACATCATACCTATCTGGGTCTTGTTTCTCATTTCATTTACAAGCCTGCTTTGTATAATGGTAATATTTCTGCGTGCTGCATTTTTATTTTCATTTCAAAACATGACATGGGGTCTATTCATTATTCTTGTGGCTCTGGTTGCTTCTTCCTTTCTACGGTGGAGATCAGCTCCAGGGCTTCAATGCTAGGTGAGCATGTCGGTGGAAACGGAACGCTGCTCTCTGAGACTTTTAAACAGCATACCTAGGCATTTGGTAATCAGAACAAACAAACTTGGTCTTACTGTAGGATTGATTTTATTCCTTCTACGGTTTGGGAGAAAGGGTGGGGAATATGGTAGGGGTTGAAACAGGGTCTCAGTGTATAGAGCAGGGTGGTCTTGAACTCATGATACACTTGCTCAGCCTCCCAGGGACTGGGGTTACAGACAGCATTAGCATGCCCAGATTCTTAAAACTCCATCTCCTTTGTTTTCCTTTTATAGGAAGGGAGTGGGGTGTGGTCTGAAGTTTGGTGTAAATAAATGCTATTTCGTAGTGGGGAATACCTGGACACTCCCTGTGCTTCCCTATAACTCCTAGCAGCTGTATTTTCAGAAGTCATTAACTTGTGCAACATTTACAGTTGTTGCCAAGGTTTCCTTCTTTCCTTGATTTCGTGTGTGTGTGTGTGTGTGTGTGTGTGTGTGTGTGTGTGTGTGTGTATGTGTGTGTACGTGAGCGCTCGTGCTTGCGTGTTTGTGCATATGTTCTAGGATCTGAATCTAGGGCCTCATACTCAAACTCTCAACTCCAACTCCATTAAATGAAATAAGTATTTTCTACATGAGTGCTCTGAGTCCTGTAAAGTAACTTCACTCTCCATCTCTAGAGTATCTTACTTTTTCCTTCTCTCTTTTCCCTTCTTAGAATCACTGAGCTAAATTAAGCCACATCTCCTTGAAACAATTATTTCTTACATGTATTCATTGTGTTCTCAGTAACAAAAAAGAATAAGTAAGAGTTCTACCACTGAGCTATATCCCCAGACATAAGGTTAAATTTTTCTGGCTAAAAGCTCAACATTCAAAGTCAAAGCCAGGCAAGGTATGATGATGGTTGCCTGTAAATCCAGCACTGGGGAGCAAAGGCCAGCCTGCATTACATAGTGATTCCCAATCTAGTCTGAAATGCATAGCAAGATGCTGTCTCAAAACACATAAATACACACAATACATATATCTTAGAGAGTATTCTATACGTTTTCTCTAGCTTAGAAAGTAGCTAATTTCTCCAAGATTACAAAGTATTAATAGTAAAAATAAGACCCAAACTCAAATGTTCTTCCCACTGTCCCACTTAGACTCTGTGGTATTATTGTCTATTCTGGTACTCAGTGTTGCTAGGAATGCTTCTGTGTCTTACTTTGAAATTGGTACTGGATTTATAGCCTAATGGCAGAGTATAAAGTTGTGCTGGGATTAGACCTAGCACAAAAACCAAACAAAAAGGGGGACAAAATGGTCCATTTTTCAGAAGTCGATGGCATCTAAGTGTTCTTCATTCTGTTGCAGCAGTGAAATATGTCCTCCACCTGTACAGACATAAGCCTGCTCAGAAGGATCAGGACGGCATGGACCGTGCTGGGTATAGGTGGGGTGTCCCCCCAGCCTGTGAATGAGAGCACTCTGAGTTATCATTAGCTGACTGCTGTCTGTGGCAGTAGAACAGGAGTTACCAGGATTAACACACGGCCCATTATTTCCGTCTGTTGCCCCCACAGAAGAGAATGGCATGGTTCCAAGTGTTGTAGGTGTTACCATGAGCTCACCAACAGTCCTGACTGGAAGTCAGTGCTCTCTGTAGTGATGTCAAGAAGAGAGCCACACACAGCATTGCTTGTTCACTGGCCCATAGCTGGTCAGTGCCAGGGTATGGGTAGGCTCAAATTCCTGTGCAGCTTGTGTGTCTACCACAGTACCTATTTTCATTCTAAATTCTCTTGACAAACAGGCCCTGTGTGTTTGTAAGTAGAATCCAGTTTGATAGCACATTTCCCTGTTATGTAGCACCAGCATACTGTCACCATTACTGGACTATGAAAACATCCTGGTTCTAGATGAGACTGACTCGCTCGTGTCCATGTTACTGAGGCTTAGGGGGCAGCGTCCATTTCTCTTTTTAAGAACCTATGAACTAGGCATGAGTTAACGTGAAAGGAGGGAAGGTTAACATTCGCAGTGTTTTGTGCTTTGTCTGGACATATTCTTCTCATACATAGGTGCGTCTTTATGAATTTAAATGACTGTTGAGGACCAAATTTTGGACATTCTCACATACAGTGTTAATAATACATGGATTTTTAATTATCATGGTTGGAGGAAACTTTATATATTAAAGAAAGTAGTTCTGAGGGTAAGTTTGCCTCCTGAAATGGGAAAGGAACATATAAAGGAGAAAAAAGGTCTTTCAGCATTGAGCAATTGTTCTTGGTTCTTTATGTGTATTTGTATGTATATGTGGATATGTTTGGAGGTGCATGTTGTACATGCAGGTGTACATGCACATATGCAAATGCATGTAGAAACCAGAGTAGTATGTCAGGTGTCTACTGTGGTTTTGAGACATGGCTCTCATTATGATCTGGCCAATTAAGCTAGGTGGCAGTTAGTTCAGGGTTCTGCCTGTCGCTGCCTCCCCAGGTTGGGTGCTTGGAAAGGAACTGATGCTTGCATTGGCAAGTGGTTTTACACACTGAGCCATGTCACCAGTCCGGGGTACCACTTTTTAAAAAGAGATTATGGAAATGGAACTGCTGATCCTAGAGCTTAAGGGCATGCAGTCTGTGCCCCAGAGAGCTAAAAATTCTGTTCCTAAAGAGCAGAATCCAGGGCAACCTCCTTGGCATAGTGAGAAAAACAAAGGCCATGCCAGATCGCACACACTCGCAGAGCTGGGTTCAGTGTGGGACACTCGCCAGCTCCAGCCATTCAAGTCCTAAGCAGCCCTGTGTTGGATCTCCCTGTTCTCCCCCAAAGCTGCACGAGAAACTGTCTGGCTAGAGCGAGAAGAGCGAGCCCGGCAGCACTATGAGAGACACCTGGAGGCACGGAAGAAGAAGCTAGAGGACCAGCGGCTGAAGGAGGAGCGGAGGAGGGCTGCAGTGGAGGAGAAGCGGAGGCAGAGGCTGGAGGAGGACAAGGTGCGGGGAGGACTCCCCTGTTCCATCCTGCCGGGTGCACACAGCTGCAGGTGTTGGGGAGCACAGGCTGAGGGAGATGGAAGTCGACTGGTCGTTAGTGTTGCTGCTGGAACATTGAGTTCTCATGTCTCACGTGGAAACCTAACACTCATTATTGCTTTATTTGGCCATACTGAAGTGCTAAAGTCACCCAGTGGGCTTCCATAGGGTCTTGCCATATTACCTTCCATGTAAGTAAATATTTCCACATATGTACTTCATTCACACTCAACCCTTAAGTGTTATATAAGGTTTTAGAAAATACGAGAGGGGCAGTTATTCTCAATAGTAAGGTTATACTGTTCTTGCCATCAGGAAACAGAAGCGGGGGATCCCAAGTTTGAGGTTATCGAGACACATGATGTGTAACTACACATGCTGAGCCTCAGCTTAAGTGAAGACTACTAGTGTTGGCTTAATTTATTTTTTTTTATATAAGTACACACTGCAGCTATCTTCAGACACACACTAGAAGAGTGCATCGGATCACATTACTGGTGGTTGTGAGCCACCATGTAGTTGCTGGGATTTGAACTCAGGACCTCTGGCCGAGCAGTCAGTGCTCTTAACCACTGAGCCATCTCTGCAGCCCACACAAGGACTTTTGAACTGGGAACTAATGGTTGCAGAAACGACCCAAGATTGTTACTATTCCCATCTTACAGTGCAGAAGTTAGGAGATAGATTATAACACCAATATAGTAGGGCAGGAAATTAGGTAGACTACTCTATCCGGCTTAAGTTGCAGAACCTTCAAACAGCTAAACCTAACTGCTGGCTCTTCTGTCCCACATAAGGAACGCCATGAAGCTGTCGTCCGTCGGACGATGGAAAGGAGCCAGAAGCCAAAGCAGAAGTATAACCGGTGGTCATGGGGAAGCCCTCTCCATGGAAGCCCGAGCATCCACAGTGGAGGTAAATACAGACGCCACTTTCAAGCCCCTTCTTTGACTTTTGGTTGGAGATTTTTCTGGACAGTAAGAGTATATTTGATTTTTGGTTTTTGATTTTTTATTTTTCCCCCCTAAATCTCTGGTTGCAAAACAAAAAAATCCCTCTGAAGTCATTAAACTATAATTAAATGATGCTTCCACTATTGAGGACAAGAGGGTGACGGAGGTCAGACCCAAGGTCTTCTCTTTGTCTGGGCATGAGCTCCTCTCCCTAGACAGAAACCTCGAAACTGAAAGCCTCAACTGTTTTAAGGATCTGCTTGCATAAGGTTTGCATGGCTTTGGAATACATCATCCCAGGTCACTTTCTGCTCTGGAAGGATCTCAGCAGTACACCTGGGTCAGAGTCTGTCCCCTAAGCGCATGTGCACTGACCTAACCTGTACAGGGCTGATGTCTCGTAGGAACACATGCTAATATCTCAGACTAGAAACAGTGGTAAACATCCAGACCACTTCTCTTTCCTTGAATGGACATGAAACTATCTTGAAATATGACATCAGCAGAAGGCTTGTCTTTGTACAGTAAATTCAGTATACCTCAGTGCTTGTACAGTATGCCAGTTCTTTTCCTTTCTTTCTTTCTTTCTTCCTTCCTTCCTTCCTTCCTTCCTTCCTTCCTTCCTTTCTTTCTTTCTTTCTTTCTTTCTTTCTTTCTTTTTTTTGAAAACTTGTGTCTCAACATTCTGTCCTCAGGTGGTTTTGCTGAGTCATCATTCTCCTTGGTTTAGCAGGTGTGGACCACCACGTCACAGTTTTAGTCATCATTCTCCTTGGTTTAGCAGGCGTGGACCACTATGTCATAGCTTTAGGGGCTACTAGAAAATCTGGTACAGACATCCTTGTTATTGCTGACTGCCTGCTTTGTAGCTAGCACCCCCAGACATAGGACCCGTTCATGGATCGCTGAACCACCACCAGCCTAGTCACCGCGTGCTGCTGTGTGTTGCACAGACCAGGATCTGCACCGAGCACAGTGTTTCTAAAGTGTTTCAAGGTCAGGTGACTTGAAGGTGTTGAAATGACCACACATGGCACGTTTGCTTTCTCTTTAATTTTTAGTAAAACCGTTTAAGCGTCTTTTAGCTAAGAATCGCCTACAGAGTGTGTCCAGGTTAACAGCCCCCATGGCCTTCAGTACCACTCGGAATCGGCTTATATCCAGTTGAATTTTTCTTTGCATGTTTGCTGTGTTTTCCCATTATTTTCTTTAATATTTTCTGATTTATTTTAATTTTATGTATATGAATCCTCTATCTGCGTGTATGCTGTATTCCAGAAGAGAGCATTAGATCACATAGATGCTTGTGAACAACCATGTGGTTGCTGGGAATTAAACTCAGAACTCTGGGAGAGCAGCCAGTGCTCCTAACCACTGAGCCATCTGTCCAGCCTCTCATTAATGTTTTTTACAACACTTTCCCTCTTATTTTTTTTTAAGTTTAGCAAGTATAATAACCACAACTTATTTCCCTGTGACACTGAGCCAAACACAGAAGCACATTTCCCTCTGTGGCCCTTTCCCACCTGTGATTTGGCACACACCAAATCTGCCATCATAAAGATAGGATATATTTCATCAGGAATAGTTTTCATGACTATTCTGGAGAAAAGTGGTCATGGTAAGTGCTTTTATAACCATGTTTTCTTTTACTGAGCTTCACGCTGTCTGTCTTCATGACAGAAATTCTCTGTCGTACAGTGTCAAACATCTTCAAGAAAAAATTTGCTTAGCTTTAATTCTTGCCTTGTACTTTGCTATTCGGAATGGTATGGGCAGTGATGCATTTATGAGCTGTTAGATAAAGTCCAGTGACTAGATTGGAACAAACTACTAGTCCACTAAAAGAAAAGAGACATTTGTGTGAGAAACAGTGGGAATTGGTCCAATTGGTCAAAGACTAGGAGATGATCTGCTGCAGGGCTGAGCGAGCCGTCCATTCTGCTCACTGGCACCTTCCCTTCCTTCACAGCATCCCTGTACTAACCCTGCCTATCACCCTAAGTCTTCCCAGCCTAGAAACGGTCCCCATTAAAGTGAGTGTCTTGTCTGCCTTGCTGGTACATCAGCTAGTATTACCATGGTAACAATTTTATTAGTAAACCCGCCAGTCCTTTTGTGAAATTGTTTCCTGTTCAGTGAGAAAAACTGGATGAAAGTTGACTGATGGTACCACACACCCTGACCTGGTTCCATGGCTCCACCACCTGTCACAGAACTGTGGACTTTTCCATTCACGATACTTTGGTGCATGACTGTCTAGCTCATCTTTGGCTTGCTCACTAAGAAATAGATCTAAGTGCTTTTAGTAACCCATTGAGAAATACCTGGGGATAGGCTTAATGTAGACACGGCTTTCCCAGCTAAATTTTAGCATGTAAGCAATGTCAGGGAGTGTGTCGCCGTAGAACCATGTGCGCACACCCACATTCAGCATCGGGGTGCTCCTGGAACTATTTCCCCTCTGGACTTCTATTTTTTTTCTCATTGCCCAAACCCCACCAGATAAATGTAAATGGAAGGCACAGGAATCACACTTGGTGATTTATTTTTCTCTTTTAAAACATAATTAGATGTTAGCTATAAAAGTAGTTCCCAGTTGAAGATCCACTTCTTATTAATGAGACTTATTACCAGCAGGTTGTAGATAATAGTCAAAATGGCTATACTACAGGGCAAAATTCATCAAAAATTCTTACTGCCAAGGCTATTCAGACCAGCAGGAACGGTGCTCAGATGCAGCTCAGTTGTAAAGCCCTTACCTAACCTAACAATGGGTCCAATCCCCAGGAAAGATACGGAAACAGAGTGACCGGTGAGGGTCACCTGCAACCCCTTGAATTGTAAGTCAGAGATGTAAATAAATAAATAAATAAATAATAAAAATAAAAAATAAAAACAAGATAAGGGGCTTGCAAAAATCCCCAGGCCTCAAATTTATAGTTCTGGCTTAGCTTCCTAGTAGCTGGATACAGGCAGGCCCCAGCCTTCATGGCCTTACATGTCAATCAGATCATCCTATAGTGGACGTCAGTGCTGCAAGTGAAATGTCTGTAGAAGCAAGAGAGTCTGCAGCAGAACCAGATGTGCACTTCACATGCATACACACACCTCAGGTGGACACTTCACCCCCAGGCGTGCTACATACGCACACACACGCACACACACACACTCCGGGTGTGCAGGTTCTCAGTACCACATCCATTGTCCCCAGCCTCTCTTTGCTTCACAGTGGGTCTGCATCGGCTTAGTAGCCTTCCTCCACTCCTGGGTTTGTCTTCATCTACTTGTATCATAATAACATGCTTGGGTTTAAGCTGGTGAACTAAACGTTTATATTATTTCTTAAGAAAAACACTACTTGTTTCTAGCCTTTAAGTTCCTCTAGTGTGTCCACTCAGAGAACTGTGCTGTTGTGGAAGATCTAGAAATGCCATTGGCCTCCAGTCCTGCTGCTTGTCCCACCGCTCAACTAGGAAATACGATCCTGCTTGCTGGCCGTCAATTAGCACTCTCTCCTCTTGTTTTAGATCCAGACAGGCGGTCAGTGTCCACCATGAATCTTTCGAAACATGTTGATCCTGTCATTAGCAAGCGGCTCTCGTCCTCATCTGCAACTTTGCTAAACTCTCCAGATAGAGGTACAGTCAAAAGGAAAACAAAGCCTGTTCTGTTGCTTACCTAATGTTTTCTTTCCTGGATGTGTACAGATGGAAATAGCATCTGAAGTTGCTTTCCCTGCATTTCTTAAATAGGAAGAAAAAAACTTGAGAGTAAAAAAGCGTAAGCGGCCGAGCATCACTGCCCTGGGATGAGAGTGTTTCTCGGGTTAGAAGGTGGCTGACTGGTGCATGTAGCAAACGGTGCTTTCCTCAGCCGCTTGGCAGACGAAGTCACCCCTTACCCACCAGAATGCACACAATCTTGCTCTGGACAGTCCTGTCCCTTAATCATCCGTATGCTGGGAGTGCTGGGTGCCAGCTTTCCAAAGAGAACCTTAACTGACTCATGATGGCAGTTTCATTTCACCTCCTTGTTTCTCATTTGGTCAGACATCTCACATGGCGTTTCTGATGTGTGTGATTGTTTGCTTGGTGTCTGTTCATTTCAGTCTTGGGTGCTCGGCCTCATTTTAAGACAGTCATTGCCATGTCCTCCAGCTAAAGTCTTCATGGAGTTTTGAGTTTATGCATCCTATGGATTACAGTACATGAATATTTAGTTATTCATAAAATGGAAGTTTTGTTTTATATCATGGGTGAAACAATCAAGCTTTTCAGAAAAGCTACTTGTTTTAATAACTACGATGATTTTAAATAAAACCAAAGAATTATGTAATGCAAAGCACACACTTTTTAAAACTTACAAGTTATGGTGACCTCAAGTATGTTTTTATGAAATTAGAAAGTATCATGTCTTAATCTGTAATAAGAATATAATGTATGCATGTTCCCTGTGTGTCAGTTTATTATCTTGTATTTTATATTGCGGTTCAATTGTAATATATTATGTGAATGTTGGTATTATTCTATAAAGTGGTAAATGTTTGAACAGTTTCTATTCTTGTCTTCTTACCCAAACTGTTCCTTTTTTAAACTAAATTTGCCTAAAGCATTGATATTAGAATGTCATCAAGTTTTAGAGGTTTTTTTCATGTTAATTTATTACGTTTTCCTCCATAAGTATGCTTTATTGCAGACTATATGGAGTACATTCAGGGAGGGGTAAACTTGTGTTTCATGTTCCTTCCCTCACTGAACATAAGATATAGATCTGCTGTGGGTGTTGTTCCTACAGTTGACTGTTCCCTTCCTTTTCCTTTAAAGCGCTCACTTACCTAGAACTTTAATGTCATACTCTGAGAACCCAGGTCTGAGACAAACCATAGTTAAGGACTTAGAATGTTCTGAGTTAAGTTATAATGCTTTTCTGCCTACGACAGTCCCAGGTAAAGATGAGGATTAGGAGATGGGCTGTAAACCAGCTGATACCCTTACCAGTCTCTGATGATTGAACTTGCTGAATTCATTGTCAGTTAGAAATAAAATTACATTTAAACCCTTTGTATGATGTATCTGATTGGATTTTCTTAGGGTAATGTGGTCTGGGGACTAATATCCATTGGGTAGCCCATCTATTCTATTTGGGGTGATTCAGTCAACCCCTCAGAGGTTGAGAATCTAACTGGTAACGTCCTGCAGGGTAATGAACTGGAAGCTCTATTAGCAGTCTTCCCGCAGCGGCGGATCTGTGGCACCTGCACTTCCCGCCTGCATGGCCTCCACATGTGCTGTCTTTGTTCTTGTTCTGTCTCGGGACAGGGAATCACTATGTAACCCTGACTCATCTGGAATTCAGTATGTAGACCAAGCTGGCCTTGAACTTCTGTCAGTCCTTCTGCCCGTCAGTGCTGAGGTTACTGCGTGCACTGCCTCAGTGAGCTATGCAGTCGCTGGCTGAATTAGAAGTGGAGTTAGGAGCTAGAAGACAATAGAATCTCAGCAGCTGGGGCCAGGAAACTGCCCCTTGCACCAAGACACAGGACTAAGGAATCTACTAAGTCCGTGTCTTCACAGACTTAAACTAATAACTAAACTAAACTGATAGCATAAGAGGGAGGGCCCTGAGGTTAGTTCCACATTCCTGCCCCTGTCAAAGGAGCCATGACCAAGGCGCTGGTCTAACACCGTCTAGCCTGGAAGGGGCTCTGGTGCTACAGAAGGCTTTGTTTGCTCATTTGTTTTGGTTAAGCAAAATCTTCAGTAAGAGGACTCTCCTGCCAGCTATTTTTGAATGCTAGTTATGCCTTATTGTCTCAGTAGGAAGAGTTCTTATCAAAATAAACTAGAAGCTTTTATAGACAAATGAGCTTTCTCCCGCCTGTGGCAGTGGTACCTCAAAGCTGATATGAGTTTGAAGCTCTAAAAGTCAGGGCTCGAATGCATCTGAGCAGCTCTACTGGTTACCGAATGTACTGGAATATTGTCAGGTTGTTTAATAAATAGCCACCTCCCCCAGTGTGCTTCCCCAGACACTGCAAAGGGAGCCTGCCACAACTACCACTGTGACCCACCTTCTTCAAAACATTTGTGATCGGGAGATAGCTTTGTGAGTCCCACACAGGCATGAGGACCTGGGTTAGAGCCTACCTAAAAAGATTCAGGCATGGACAGGCACGGGGATGCACACCTTTAATCCCAGCACTTAGGAGACAGAGGCGGATAGATAACTGTGACTTCAAGGACAGCCTGGTCTACAGAGTGAGTCCTAGAACAGCCAGAGCTATATAGTGAGACCCTGTCTCAAACTAAATAAAGAAACAAACAAACCATTAAAAATAAATAAGTTAAAAATTTAAAAAAGAAAGCCAGGCATGACACCACTCACCCGTAATGCTATCACTGGAGAGTCAGAGACATGAAGATCCTTAGGGCTCCCTGAACCTGTCTGGCTTCGTCAGTGAGTTCTACGTTCTGATGAAAGACCACATCTCAAGAAATAAGGGGAGACGGGGGTGCTCAGCAGTTCAGAGCGCTTGTTCTCTTCTCGAGCACATGAGTCCTCTTCCCAGCACTCATGTCAAACGGCTTAATATTGCCTGTAGTTTCAGCTCCAGGGGGTGTGACACCCTCCTCTAGCCTGGAAGTACACACACACACACATGCACACACACACGCACACACAGCATTCATTCACAGACCTACACATATACACATAAGTAAATAAGACAGATCATTAAGATGAACCACAATTGATGAGGATGTTGACCTGTGACCTCCACATGCACACATATATAAACATGTACCTATGCCTACATACATACACAAACACATGCACACATGTGTGTGTGTCACATATCTACAAAATAGGTACACAGAGGGGGAAAATACTGTTATTTTTACACCTGAATTGTGTCACATAGACTAATAAAATTACCTGGAAGCACATAATTTCTCATTGATTGTTCCTATAAGTGCTACAGTAGATACTATTGCAATTTGGAAATTTACATTAAAGATCCTTATCCTCATTTTTTTTAAGGATTTATATGTTTTATGTATGTGAGTACGCTGTCCACTGTTTTCAGACACACCAGAAGAGGGCATCAGAGCCCATTACAGATGGTTGTGAGCCACCATGTGATTGCTGGGAATTGAACTCAGTACCTCTGGAAGAGCAGTCAGTGCTCTTAACCACTGAGCCATCTCTCCAGCACATATTCTCATCTTTAAAGCCACCTACTTAACCAGATTTTTCTCAAGAAGGGACAATGGAACTTTAAAAGAAGGAGCATGAGATTGTCTACTTAGCTTAAAGTTAGTCTAGACAACCCAGGCATGGTGGCAAATGCCTAGTCCCATCACCTAGGAGACTGAGGCAGGAGGATCAAGGGCCCCCTGGCCTATGTAGTGAGCCCTTGCCTCTAAAATAAATAAACAGAAATGAGTCCATACACTCTCACCTTGAATCTATATCTTAGGACATAGTGATAGATCTCAGCTGAATTCTGTCCAGAATCACATTTTAGCCTAAAATTATCCATTTTCATTCTTGCTATACTTTGAATTAATTGCCACATCTATGGGTGGTTTCAGGTAGCACTCAGGAATTCTTCTAATGCCGACAGTCAGGATCTAGCAACATCTAAGTTCTGCCTGGCACCCATGACCCTGAAACCTTTGTGCTCAGCAGTTGACTTTGTGCTCATCGGTGGAATGTGGTAATGTGATTTACAAAGCACTGATGTAGCCCAGATCATTCAGGCGAGGACCACAATGGCGATGGCTAGCCATGAGCAAGGATTGCATCTTTTGAGGTTGCCTACACTGATCTGAGAGGTCTGTCTCTCCTCACTATGGTCAGCATTTCATGTCAGTGCATAAATAGGACTGATACCAGCCAGTTCCACCAAGCTATCTCCTCCCTCCGCGTTTCAAAACTCTCCAGATCAAGAACTTCTACATTAAACGAGGAAAAGGGACATTCTCTACAAGCTTGAACTAAAATGTTACAGATGCTCAGTCTGTCCATCCATCCCCCACTTGCATGTCAGTCATGAATGTGGTTGAAGTGGAAACATCTGGAATTTATAACAATCTGCATGTGAAGCAGCTTCTCTAGCTGATGCCCTGAAAACTTGCAGGAGGTGAACTCCTTAAGGGGCGTAGGGTGGCTGGGGGTAGGGGGCAGTTAAGGCCAGGTGTGGTAGCACACACACCTTTATTCCCAACATTTGGGAGGCAGAGGTAGGCAGATGGGTCTCTGAGTTCCAGGCCAGCCTGGTCTACAGAATGAGTTCAGGACAGCCAGGTCTTTGTTACACAGATTGTCAGTGCTATCTTATCTCTGCAGTTCTGAGCCCCTGTCACCACGGGGCTTATCTCAGAAGGAAGCCTTGCTTTCTTTATTTTCCCTCCCTTGCTGGTTTGAACATACTGTATGTTCTGATTAAGCTGTGCTGTATTGTCCGTGCAGGTAGCACCTGCTCATGCTGCCGTCTGCTAGCCTTCACTGCTGCCTTAGTACTTTCAGTAAGTCTTCATGCTGGGAAAGATTTAGCCTTGGAAGCTAAAGACAGTAGTTCAAGCCTATATAACCTGTAATCTCAGCACTTGTGTGACAGAGGCAGGATCACCATGAGTTTGAGGCCACCCACAGTGTGTGCAACCTTGTCATGTTAATAATCATCATCATCATCTCCTTAATAAACAGAATATCTAATGGAAAATTCACCAATTCTTAAATTAACTAAAGTGTTGATCAAAATGATCACTTTTAAAATAAAGTCAGGTTATTAGAGGGCTTCCTGGAAATTGGTTCTCCCTGCATGGAGGCAACTATTTTCAGTGTAACAATGTCTAGCAGTATATGGTTTTTATAAACTAAACCAGATTTCAAGATTCTAAAAGTTATGTTCCTCTCAGATGATTGTTGTGTATAGGGTCAGCTACACCCGAGGAGTGCAGAGCAGAGGAGGAGCGGTCATGTTTACATAGTTTTAAAAGGCTTTGATGAGTGACATGGGAGTACTTTGTAGGTGGCATGTGATCTGTGTGTGACAGTGGCACATTGGTGCAAGCCTCTTCACTTACCGTCTATGTTTTAGTGTGCCATCGCTAGCTGCTCACAATGCAAACAAAGTCCTAATTGGCGTCCATTTTCTAATCACGGTCCTGCCAAATCCCAGGAGTTTGGGACCCACATGTCATTGTGTGAAGTTTGTTTTCAGATCTTCAGCCATCACTAATAAACTTGAGGTTTATAGTTACATTGCACTTGGGCATTTCTGCTTACTTTTGTCTTCCTTCAGCTTTAGCCTTGATCTTCAGCTGAAAGTTTTATATTGTGCCAAACAGGGACCTGAAAGAGCCTAGCTTCCTGAGTGAAAAGCTCAAAAGAACCCCGTAGAGACCTGTGCATGAGTCTTCTTTCGATTTATTGTAGCTCTTCCTCCAGTTACCCTAAACCATTCGTGGAGATCCATGAGTTTAACAGAGTTCTTGCAGTACTTTATGTTAATCTAGTTTTCATCTGTCAGCCCCAATGAGGATGGTTATTGAAGACATACAGGAAGCCTTCTGTCAGAGATGGCCATCAGAGAGGTGTTACCGATAATAGCAGATCTGTAATTGAAGTGGTATTTCCATTTCAAGACCTGTTGTTTGCTCAACAAGAGCAGACCAGAAAAAATCCATTGGAGCTGCCCCTTTAGAGCCTTCCATAAGCATAGCTCAAGGAGAGGCAGTGTTTGTGGAATAGCTTCTCCCTTGAGTGGGGATCCTGTTGCCCTGACTCATGGCCACATGTCTTCTCTGGAGAGCCTGAGCTGTCTCCAAGGTCTGTCCAGACTGTGGAGGTATTAGGTATGATGATGATCAGCACCCCCTTGGCCCAGTAAAGAATGTCCCTAACATCTTGCTTATATGGTGACATTTAGCTCGCCGCCTGCAGCTCAGCCCCTGGGAGAGCAGCGTTGTTAGCAGACTTCTGACGCCCACACATTCGTTCCTGGCCAGAAGCAAAAGCACGGCCGCCTTGTCTGGAGACACAGGTAAAGCCATCCAGGCGGAACTTTGTGGTGAGGTAAAGTCCTCCTTTTAAAGCCTGTCTGCTCTTCCCACGTTCAGCTAACCCCACCTCCATTCAGCCTGGTATGTGCTTCTCTCTGTTGGTGTTGGCTTTATACGCTTGGCATTGTTTTCTCTTTACATCCACCCTAACAACTTATCTGGACACCAGATGCCAGGCAGGCAGATGGCATCCCTCACCTGATCAGATAGCCTCTGTCTGTTAGATTACCAAGGAAAAAAGTATCACTTAAACCTACTTTTCTTTCTACCCCTGTATGTCAACAGATGACCAAGGGTAGTGGATATAATTTAATACCACTATGCAGACTTGGAAATAAATCATCACACTCTTCTGACTTAAGCAGGTAGTTTCTTACCCTGGCAGCTTCCCCCTGCTGTGCCAGGCTTTTGTGTGTAACCTAGTACCTGGAACCTTCCAAGCTCTAAAGAGCTGAGAAGGCTACGTGAAATGTTGTTACTTTCACTGCAAACATGGAACATACCTAATCTTGGCTGTTTCATTGAAATTTTTTCAATGCTAAATGTGCCTGAATGAACTGTAATGTATTCAGTTGGTAAGACCCATCCATATAGGCTTTGAGTGACACTTGTATATTGGTGTCACAGTTAGATTTCCCAGCTCTCTCTGGGCACAGTGTCTGTGGAAGCAACTTAGCCACCCCTCACCCTCTGCACTTGGAAAACCACATGTCCTCTTTGAAAAGTTCCCTTTTAAAAGGCCTTGTTTCTTCATGCTGCACAAATAAACCTCTTGGTAGTTTTATGGACTTTCCTCTGTTAGCTAACAAGTGTCAGGTCCTGCTTCTCACTGTCCGGTGTGAGGCAGTCAGGCCACAGGTCTGGGCATCCTCAACACCTCCCCCCGCCCTCTGGAAATGAGCTTGCAGCCATAAGAGCTAACACCAGGCCACACAGAGAATCTTCAGGTGCTCGCCTGTACCTCTCAGCACTCAGCACTTCATCTGGGATTTTGCTGAAGGAAAAAGTGCAGCATTTTAAGATTAGACTATGTTTTATACTGTGAAACTTCTTTGCCAGTGATGAAAGTAAGTCCTCTGCGTGTTGACTCTTCCAGGCAGCTTATCCACCCTGTCAGTGGACACTCCACAGTGTGTGACCATCACACACCTGAATCCCGTGTTATGTGTTGTCTTGTTCCAAAGCTAGGAACGTGTCTTTCTCTGCTGTTTCTGTCGGCAGTGACCCTGGCAATGCTTTTGCCCCTTGTCTTTCCCACGCCATTTCTTTGCTGTCCTCCTTTCCTTTCCCACCCACCGCTCCCTTCCTTGTTATGCTTAGTTGGGGTACAGTTGATGTTTGTGAAAAGCAGCACATAGATGTTGAAGCTTTGCTATATTCTCTAGGTTATGACTACCTATCCCATTGACACAGCTTATATTTAATGAGATTAAAGACTCCTAGTTTTTATAAAGATTTCCGCTTGGATTTATGAATGTAAATGTGTCTTAGTTGTCTTTTAGGACATTTCCTGTCTTTATTTTCCAGTGTACCTCTGGATTATTAGTTTCTCTCCATTTCAGTTTTCTTTCTTTCTTCATCTTATTCCCAATTGCCATTGGCAGAAGAGGATGTATCCATAGCCAAGACTACAACAGCAGTTAAGACCCTTGTCCTTTAAGGTACTCAAAGATTGCAGGACCCTTCTCTACCCACAACCCTGAGCAAGCAGTAAGGCTCCCGAGTGTTGGAAGAGCCCCATCTTACCCCTCCCATTTGCAGCCCCCACTTTGGGTTGACCTTTCCATGCCATGGTCCTCCCGAACCCACAGAATATGTGCATGAATATTAGAGGTTGGGCTTAGGCAATCGAAATACTTAGAAGTGTGTATCAGGGCTTTAACAAATGTTAACATTCTACCCTGCCGGTCTCTGCCCTGATCCCATCACTCAAGCTGCATTGTCTGTTCTGAGCTCTGTGTTCCCACTGAAGACCTTGATGGGTTAGGCTAATGCACTTTTGGCTGCCAGGAGTAGTGGAGGATGTTCTCAAAGGCATGTTCATTCTCTTAAACTATATAGGACATAGAGTGCACAATAGGCATTAGGTACTCCTACTGTCTCTTCAGGAGAATGGGATTGTTCAGTATGCAAGTTTCAGGTTTTTGGTGGTAGATGTTAGAATGTAATACTCTTGGAAATTTTAATATTTATTTCAGCCAGAAGTATTTTTGAACAATTAAAGTTGAGAATTTTTAAATAGATAGAGATAAGGATATTTTTAAACTAGATACGGTGGCACACACCTTTAATCCCAGTACACAGGAAGCAGAGGCAGGTAGATGTCTATGATTTCGCAAGCCTGGTTTTCATAGCAAATTCCAGTGTAGCCAAGGCCACAGAGTGAGAAGAGAAGATTTTCTACCTGTACTTAATGCTTTTCTTTTTCAACACTGCAATAAAGAATAAATTAGATTGTTCCAGGATGGTCTCAGCAAATATTCATTTTTCACTTTGTACTAAAGGAAAATGAAACCATGTTTCTAGCCGGGCGGTGGTGGCGCTCGCCTTTAATCCCAGCACTTGGGAGGCAGAGGCAGGTGGATTTCCAAGTTCAAGGCCAGCCTGGTCTACAGAGTGAGTTCCAGGACAGCCAGGACTACACAGAGAAACCCTGTCTCCGAAAACCAAAAAAAAAAAGAAAGAAAGAAACCATGTTTCTGTTTCCTTCCGTTCTCAGTTTGAGCCTTACTCTCTGAGCAGGCCTGTTCTCCAGTGCCCCTTGATCCTTAGGCAAGGTTAATGGCCTCTGGCTTTGCCTGGACACTGGGCACTGCTTCCTGATTATTAATCTACAGAAACACCCTGTGCAAGGCCTGGCTTCTGCAGTGTGCTTGATTAACTTGGAAGAGTTCTGCATTAATGAACCCTTTCCTTGTCTGGGAAGTGAAAGCGCCTTGTGATACTTAAGGAAAAAACTTATTTTCCAGTACTTTCCCTAGTAGTCACCACCAGCAGAGACAAGAGGCCCTTCTACCTCAAAGTACAAATCTACCATTCACCATTAAAGGTCAGAAGAAAAGCTGTGTCCACTCCCATGTTCTTATAGGAAGAACAGAGGAAGTAGCAGTATTTCAGTAAAGAAGGGTATTTTGTTCAGATATAGGAAGAGAGGTTGCAGCTTCTAGTCTTCCAGCTTCCTTCCCTTGAGTATGAGCCAGAAGATCCCTGGAGATACATGATGAGACTTTTTTTTTAAAGATTTATTTATTTTATGTACATGAGTACACCATTGCTCCCTTCAGACACACCAGAAGAGGGCATCTGACCCCATTACAGATGGTTGTGATTCACCATGTGGTTGCTGGGAATTGAACTCAGGACCTGGGAGAGTAGTTGATGCTCTTAACCACTGAGCCATGTCTCCAGCCTGTGAGGAGACTTTTACTTGTGACTTGGCAATGGAGTGCAGCTCAGCCAAGGTCCCAGGTTCCATCCCCAGCCGCGAGACCACAGAGAGATGTAAAGCTGATATAGCTGTCTGTAAATAAATAACATTTTCTTAAATTTATGATTTTAAAAATTAAGATTGCCATAAACGTAGTAATTTTGAGTTTTTATTAGTAGTGTTAAATTTACCTACATAGGGCTGAAGAGATGACTCAGAGGTTAAGAACACAGTCTGCTCTTCCAGAGGTCCTGAGTTCAATTCCCAGCACCCACATGGTGGCTCATAAGGATCTATAATAAGGTCTGATGCCCTCATCTGGCCTGCAGGCATCCATGCAGGCAGAACGCTGTACACATAATAAATATTTTTTTAAAAAATTTACCTACGTAATTCTTTAGAGGCTTGCTTCAGAGTTGGGTGTGGTGGCACACACTTGGAATCCCAGTGTTCCTCCAGATGCTGAGGTGGTGGAATTGCCACAAGTGCATCATGATCAGCCCTGGTCTACAGAATGAGCTCAAGACTAGCCTGGGCTATACAGACACATAGTAAGCACTTGTCTGTACAAGTTAAGAACTGCTATAGGAACCAGATTTGCATAAGGTAATTTTATAACCTCACTCAGGTACATGACATTACCTTCAACCGTGTTTGCTTCATTTTTTATGGAAAACCAAGATTTTTTTTTTAAATGAGATCTGAAATTCTAGCACCTGTGCAATGTTAAATAAATTGCCTTAATCTCATTGTTGTGTAGTGACTTTATAAATGTCAATGTTCCTTTGAAGGTGGGTGGTATAAAACTCAAAGTTCTGTCCTTAGTAAGACTGTCACTGCTCCCCATGATTTGGCCACAGAGGCGATCCTAACACTACTAATGTTCTTCTTGCCATTTTAAATAATTACAGCCTGTCTCCCCATATTTTCTACTCCTTGGCTTGGGGGCAGGGCAGAAGTATATATCGGCTTGCCTTCATGACAGAGATCGTTTCCAGCTGTTTTTAACTGTCCCTGACACAAGTCTCAACACCTGGCAAGACTTGGTCAGTGGACACATCTCGGTTGCTTTCCTCCACTGGCTCCTAAACTTGGCTCCTGAGACAGTTATAGACTTTACTTGCCTGCTCACATGCTTCCTGGTTCTAGCTTTAGTTTCATGGTAGCAGTAAGTAGGAAAAATATGTCCATAAGCTGGTCTTCATTTAAAAATGGCATCATAGATACAGGGTCTTCTCAGAGCCATTGGTCTGTAGTCATACAAGGCCACAACTGTCCACAGTCGGATTGTTTCCGCGCCTTTAGTCATAACTGAAACAAACAAGTAGTATTATATTCCAGGTCTGTCAGCTGGGCGCCTGTCACAGGTTTACAGGTATAGGGCGAGTTGAGGATCTCAGGGCTGGCGTGTTAGGTTATAACATCTTCTCCCCGCTTTTCTTTCTGTCTTCTTCTCCTGCACTTGCCTCTGGCTCTCTTCGCCTGCTCCTCTGGCACTCTTGTGTATAAAACCAATCACCTGCACTCTAGTTATCCCCGTTTGTCCTCGTTCAGCATCTTGCAGCCCCATCATCATGCCCTTCAAAGCTGCACACTCTAGAAACCCAGTGGAGCGACCAAAACTCTTTGTAACACCGCCTGAGGGCTCTGCACGAAGGAGGACCATTCACGGGACAGCGGTGAGTAGTGTCTGGAGAAGCTGGTGTGTGGGAATCGGTGCTGTTTGTCTGCAGAGTGGGCTCTGCCCTAAGGTGGACTCTGGGTACAAGATCAGGTGACTGCTACACACCATCTCACCCATTATAAACCTAGCTGGCTATGCACTCCTACTCCTCACTGCCTCCCACTTGGGGGTTTTGTTCTCCCAAAACATTTGAAACTGTTCTTTACTCAAGCACAGATGAGTGGCCTATTCCACTGGGACCTTTATACAAATAAGTGGTTAGGAAACATTTTCAAGGTTAGAAACTATGTTACCTTTGAAGGAAAGTAGACCTGGCTTGCTGCCCCGACTTTTTACCCCAACCATAAAGCTGGCCAAACTCTGAAAGTGGTTTACTCACTCAACCAGGTATGTATGCCTGCCACAGATGACGGATTTGGATACAGTTTTTGCTCAGTAGGCAACTCGTGTAAGGCTATTGAGCTACATACCCCAGGTATTTAAAGTGAAGGATACCTGAGTTAGCATGTGTGCCCTGAGCATGTTATAAATGCAGCGAGGTCATTTGTATGTCTCTTGGAATCCTTCATCTTTGTTTAAACTGTGAGCTTATGTGCTGTGGTTGGAAGATGCAGACACTGTTCTATGGCTTTGAACCCTGGACTTCAGTCATGATGTCCCCAGTCCAGCTCATATCATTGCTTGCCTGGCATCGATGATAATGTGATCCTGATTGCAGAGGCTAGAGCCTTAAAAAAAAAAAAAATTGTGCCAGACAGAGCAATTCTCGTGTTTGAAGAGGATGGCCATATTTTAGCAGGCTTTGCTTAGAGACATGTTTGAGGACTGTGAGAGTTGAAGATTTTTGCCTATGGGAAATTTTTTTGTGAGCCCCTTTAGGTGTCAGTGTGATTCATAGCTGAGACAGGCTCACTGCCCTGTAGCCGAAGGTGAACCTACCTTTGATGTCTGTGGGCTTCTACTTCACCAGCTTCATGATGCTTTGGAGAGCCAAGCTTCAGACCAAAAGTGACAGTGAACACTTAAGGGTGCATGCAGTAGGGGAAAGCATCTCAAACGCCTTCTGAAAGTAAGGTAGAAGGAGGGCTGTAGCCAACAGAGTCTGTCACCCTGTGAGCTTTGGTGGTTCTGTCAGTGCCTTCCCGAGTGTGATCAACTAGACTTTTCATTGCCTTTCAATCAAGTATTCAGGGAATGCTGCTGTCAGGAAAATGATGTTTATATCTACACCGTGGAATTAGTACTGATTAACTATGTTGAATATCTGGAATGTAGCTAATGGTATAGATGAACTGAATATTTAATTTTTAAAAAGTGTGTACAGGCTAGGGATATGGCTCAGTGTATAAAGTGCTTGACACGCAAGTATGCAGAGCTGCGTGTGGCCTCACTGCTAACTCAGCATTGGGGGATAGACAGGTAGATCCTCGTGCTTGCTGGCCAGCTGGGCTAGCTGACATGGCAAGCTCCAGGTTCAGTAAGAGACCCTGTCTCAAAATATAAGGAGGAGAAGTGGTTGAGGAAGGCACAAGCCTGTGACTTGCATCCATGTGGAGGCACAGCATACACATGCGTACATGCACACCCAAGACTGGAGTTGCAGAATCATGTTAAATCTACGGAAGTTTCTGAAGAACTGCTGAACTGTTTTGCCTAGTGATGGTACCACTTTGTTCCTATCATGCATAAGGATTCCATGTTCTCCACACCAACACTTGCTATTTTCTGTATTTGTTTTTATTTGTTTTTTTTATTATTATTTTTATTTTTTTATTTTTTTGGTTTTTCAAGACAGGGTTTCTCTGTGTAGCCCTGACTGTCCTGGAACTCACTCTGTAGACCAGGCTGGCCTCGAACTCGGAAATCCGCCTGCCTCTACCTCCCAAGTGCTGGGATTAAAGGCGTGTACCACCACCACCCGGCCCTGTATTTATTTTTATAATACACAATTTACTAAATATGAGTGATATCTCATGACTTTGATTTTGCATCTCAGTAGCATGGCACATTTTTTGTAGACAATGGCAGTTGGTAAGTGTTTGGAGAGATGTTTACTAAAGGCTTTTGTGTGCGTATGTTTGTGTTTCTGATGATCCAGTCGGCCTTGCACATCATGAAAGGGCTTTTGCACTGAACCTGTCACCAGCTCAGGCTGGTTTTAAGTCAGGTAACAGATTATTGCATTGTGGGAGTTAGTAGTTTATTCTAAGTAATGGCTCCCAGCCATATAGGCATAGGTGGTCTGTTCAGTCTTTTGTGGCTTTTGAGCTATAGAAATTTTTGTTTGATGTTCATGTGTCCATTTTTTTATTATTGCCTGTGCTTTGGGTTTATAAATTAGTAACAGGTCCCATGATATGAAACTTTTCTGGATGTTAGCCCCTTTTTAGTTTTAAGCTCATCCATTTTGAGTTCATATTTATTGCATAAGGGAAGAGTCCAGTTTCACTGTTGTTCATGTGAATATACTACTTCCTTGGTACCATTTGCTGAAAACTGTCCTCCCTTGTTGAGTGGCCCCGGTCTCTACAGCTTCTAGACTTTATTCTGTTCAGTTGTTCTGCATGCCTGCATCTACACGCCAGTACTATGCTGCTTTAACTGTTACTGCTTTAAAATATGTCTTAAAATCAGGAAATCTGAGAGACTCAGTTGGTTCTTTTTCAGATATTGTAAAGTCCCTGCGTACTGGTCAGCAGCCGGATGACTTGAGCAACGTGTGTGCTCTAAGCATTGTGGAAAGGGTTCAGAGGAAGGATGATTGTAGCAATTGCTACCCATTAACTCACACAGTGCCTCTGTGTGTGTGGTGCCCAGACAGGTGGCTGAGTGTAAGGCAGCAGAAGAACTGAAAAGAGGAGGACAGAGTCCCAGCCGTTGCCAGTTCACTGTCACCTTGATGAAGACTGTCAAGAGCATAGGAAACCCAGATAGTCAAAGTTAGCCCCGAGTGCCTCACACTGTGTTCCTCTTTTTGATATTCTCACTCTGCGCTCCTTGATCTTATCTAAGCCACATCAAAATGTTTTCACAAGCTACAAGTGGTGGCACGCATCCTCAATCCCAACACTCAGGAGGCTGAGGCAGGTGGATCTCAAGGAGTTCAAGGCCACCCTGGTCTACATAGTAAGTTCCAGGACAGCCAGAGACTCTGTCTCTAAACACACACACACACACACCAGGTAAAGGTACTTGCTGGGAAGCATGATGATCCCAGTTTTATCCCCAGAGCCCACATGGAAAGAGAAAACCAACTCTGACTTTCACAAGTTGTCCTTTGACTCAACACAGACATACACTCACAGAGGAGTAAACAAATATAAAAAAAATGTATGTTTTAAAACGTTTTTAAAGGAAGAAGACTTCATCTCCCTTAGGAAGAGAGGCGGGCCCTCCTCCCTCGTTCCAGTCTCCCCGAGGCATATGGGCCTCTCTATATGTGGCCCAGGAGGGAACCCATCTGGTGGCTGCAGTTTTTTTACCACCCAGAGACTGCACGTGTCCTTCAAGGCCCCACCTGCCTTTGAGGAATGAATTGGGACAGAGGGTGGCCATGTGACTGGGTTGATCTAGACCTGGCCCCCATACCGTGGGAAGATCCCCTTTGCCCTCAGTTCTTCTGTGATAGGAACTCAGCAGAGCCAGTGGAGACATCAGACGTTTTCTCCACTTGCAGCCCAGTCAGCCAGCTGGGGTACTGTCCAGAAGTTGGGAGACATAATTAAAGGAACTCAGAAGAGGAGGAGAGGGAGCATTGTGGTTGCTCCTAGTAGAAAGGAGACGGGTACCCTGGCAGCCCTGGCTAGGTGCCATCTGCCTGTCCCTTGTTCCCTTGTACTGGATTAGCCAGAGGTGCTGGCCAGCCTCCCTGCCACCCATAACCGCCCAGAGTCTCAGATCTTTCTAGTTTTTTCCTCTCTTTCTGCCCTTTGTTCCTTCCCTCCTCCATTGTCTGTCTGTCTGTCTGTCTGTCTGTCTGTCTGTCGTTTCCCTCTCCCTCTCCCCCCCCCTCTCTCTCTCCCCCTCCCCACTTCCTCAGCTTGAGATTCTTCAAATACCCAGGCTTCCTCTTGTTCCCTTCTGTTTCCTCTCCACTCTTCCCTGTTGACTTCAGAACCTCAGAACACATCACTAGTCTTCTCTTTGTACATTTGGCCAGATCTCTGGCTGAGCACTAGGCAGCCGTCAGGGGAGAGAGCTGATGTCTCCACTCACCTTTGGAACTCCTTTTAGGAAAGAGTAACCTACACTTCCTCACCCTAGCTCCACTTTCCTTGGGGGAAAAAGGGGCCCTTATGTAAAGACTTGTCTACAAAAGCTACATAAAAGGGGACCATGTATCTGAAATAACAGACATGTAAATAAATGACTGAGCGATGGTATTTTCCAAAGCAGAAGAAAACTGCTAAAGAATAAAAAAGTAGAACATGCACTTAAAGGTTTTTTTAAATGGGGCTGGTAGTGTGGCTTAGTGGTAGGACACTTGCCTTGTATGAAGCCTGGGATTTAATCCTTAGTATGGCAAAAAGAAAAATTACAAAATCAAAAACAAAAGGGAGAGACAAGGTAAAATAATTCCAGGTAATGTTAGAGAGCATAGACACTTGTTAAAAGTTTATAATTTTTTGTCATTTATTTTCTTGAGATTATAATATAATTACATCATTTCCCCCTTTACTCCCTTCAAACCCTTTCTGACGAAACAATTCAAATCATCAGGTCTACTTTATTCCTGTCATCTGTGTTGACTCAATTATATACTGTTCAGTTGTTGGCAGACAGGGGCCTTGTCCTACAGTGGAGTGGATCTGTATGACGTAGTTTAGAAATTGCCTTAAATTCTTAAAACACTAGATGGTTTGTAGTTTGTCATTGGGTATCATTACTATGAAAATTCTAATTATTGAGTTCCTCTGACCCTAGAGCCATAAAAGAGAGCGAGAAAGAGAACACATTCCCTTCCACGTTTCCCCTGGTGTCCGCAGGACTCTGTCTCCATCGAATCTCAAATCGAGGTCACCAGCTCCGGCCCGCCTCTGGTGAGTGTGGTGGCGGTGGATGGGCGTGTCCACACTGGAGAGTGACCTTCAGCCCTCACCACTTGTCTTTGACTGAGGGGACACAAGCTGTCTCTGAACTGGGCCTCGTTAGCAGCTCCTTTTCCACATTTACCACAAAGAGAAAAATACTCCTACCGGAAAGTCTGCTTGGTTTTACATGTGTGGGTGTTCTGGGCTCTGGTAAGCCCATCCTGACCACTCATTGTCCTTGTCTTCTGTGGCCCAGGCTCCCATCCAAGTCCATGCCTCATCTACCTGGCACACCCCGACCCGCATCCTCCTTGTCTCCTGGCTCAGTCAGAGCTGCTTCCACTCAGGCCCACTCCTCGTCTCCTGGCAACATCCGCCCTGTCAAGAGAGAAGTGAAAGTAGAGCCTGAGAAAAAAGACCCCGAGAAGAAAGTAACCAATGAGCCCTCAATAAAAGGCAGGGCGCCATTAGTGAAGGTAGAGGAGGTCACAGTCGAAGAGGGGACACCTGTGAAGCCAACTGACCCTGGTAAGAAGAGACCAGCTGGTGCTGGGATATGGGCTGGTGCTGTCTGTGCTTACCCGCTTACCCTGTTCATAGGAAATACATACTCTCTTGTTCTCTCTCTCTCTCTCTCTCTCTCTCTCTCTCTCTCTCTCTCTCTCTCTCCTCTCTCACCACCACCACCACTCTGTATTGTGAATGCTCTGTGTGGCAAGGATGACCTTGAACTTCTTGCCCTTTTGTTTCCTCCTCCCAAGTTGCTAGGCTTACAGGGATATGTCATCAGGCCTGGTTTGATGGCCTTGACATTAGACTTGGCCTCTGTGCATGCCAGGCAAGCACTCTGAGCGACTTCCCCAGCCTAATCTGTATTTTTGAAAAGATTTTCAAATCATTTCTAAAAATACTAGACTGATATTTTTAGAATTTTTCAAATGACAAATCCTTGGCCTTACCTCAGATCTACTGGCTCAGAATATATGCTCGAGGATCAAGCCACTTCCATACTGGATTTGAGAACCGCTGGTTTAGTGTTCGACAGAGATCAGAAGGCCTAGCCGTTATCTTCTGTGCAATAAGTCCGTGTTGTTTGGAGTCACCTGGAACTAGGAATTCAGTATTTTCTTGCTAAAAGTTATTATCATAGAAAATACAATTTGAGGTTTGAGGGTAGGAACCAAGAACAAGTTACAATGTTAGAATGGAAGAAGAGCCCAGTATTGGCTTCATTCCAAAGGAAGATAACGACCCCACACAGCAAAATGCTATGAAAGACTGGGTCTATACTTCTTACTGGTAATCCTCGCTATGGTAGAGGCTGAAGCTCATGGATCTCAAGTTCAAGGCCTGTCTGAGACGAGCAACTTAGTGAGACTAAACAGAAAGTATACAAAGGGCTGGGTGTGGTGCTCTGTGCTAGAGTGCTTGCAGCGTGCATGAGGCTGTGGGCTCAATCCCACTGGAAAGCAGAGGGAGAGAAAGCTGCAGACTGTCAGACTGTAATCTTGAAGTGGAGGGTTTGGGAATGAAGGCTCCAGTGCCACCCGTCATGTACGGTCATGAGACTGTTCAAGTGCCGGCTTCAATCACCCAACTAAATCTGTAAACACAGTTGAAGAACATTTTCTCAAAGCACTCTTGGGGCCAGACTTGTGGCAGCTAACGTGCCTATCTCTGACAAGGCTATTGCGTCCTCGTGTCTAGGGTCTCAAGGCAGCTCTGGGGAGATTCTTTGAGACACAGTCTCACCGTGTATCCCAGGCTGTCTCCCAAGTGCTGAGATTAAAGCTGTGTGCCTGCACAGCTTCAAGAAGAGAAGTTGCTTAGCAAAGTGTAATGGTACACACCTGTGATCCAAGTCAGGCAGCTGGGGCAGGAAGATCGTGAACTGGCTCTGAACAAGCCCTAACTACACAAAAATCCTGTGTCCAAAAAGGGGGTGGAGGGTATTTTAAACCTTAATTAAAATAAATAAAAGGAGCCTCCTTGTTGGGTGCTACCTGCCCAGCCTGAGTCCCAGGTGTGGCCTGGGTGCTAATGATGCCCATTAAAAGGCTTCGATGCTGTGGTAACTAAGTCACCAAAGCACAGAGATACTTGTAATAAAAGGCAAATGGAGAACCTTGCCTTTATTCTGCTCAGAGTGGGGCTTCCCACAGACCCTGATTGGGCCCTTGGTAAACATTTGGTAGATATTGCTAACTGATTTAACTGCTGTGAAAATAAGGCATGGTGACAGAGTGTGAGCTTTGTTGGATGTCTCACTTCCACGAGCAGTTTTGTTATCGGTTGCTTGGCTACAGATAGACAGAATACGGTGAAGCCGTGAGAACAGACAGTGGTACTTGTTCCCTCCTCTTTGAGAACGATGAGTCCGGGCCTGGGCCATGGAGAATGCCAGTTTTTGTTTTGTTCCTTGGGTTTTCACTCCACTTGGTTTTCTCCTTGTACCTATTTGCACAGCTGTTCCAGACTCAGCCCCCGTTCCAACCCTGGCCCCTGCTCCAGCTGCGGACCCAGCCCCAGGCCCAGCACCGTTGTCCACTGTGACTGTTGGTGTAGCTCCTAAGACTTCTGCAGGCACCACCGACCCAGAAGAGGCTACAAGGCTGCTGGCTGAGAAGAGGCGTCTAGCCAGAGAGCAAAGGGAGAAGGAGGAAAGGGAGAGGAAGGAAAAGGAAGAACTGGAGAGGTAAAGGGTGTTAGTACCCTCCGGCCTCCCCTACAGCCAGAGACAGCATGGAGCTTGGGTTTCTCCTGCTTCCCTCCAGAGTGTGGAGGTGACAGTCCTATGTTTACTTGATGCTGGGTATCCAACCTAGGACCTATCTGTGCCAGGCTAATACTCTATCAACTGAGCCACATCCCCAGAACTATTTTTAAAATCAAATTTTCTTCTGAATAGCAACATACCAACACGGATAAGAAAATGTTTAAAGGGAAGAAAAGATATCTGATTCAAGTAGTTGCATACATTTTAAGTAGCCTTTTCTGTTCTCTGACTGCTTGGAGGAGGTATGTGCAGCCACACACACACACACAGATCCATACGCGCAGTGAAGGTGCAGCTGTCAGGTCTGCTTTCGCAGAAAACACTTCTTCAGACTCAAAGTTTCTTCACTATCATTGTTTCACAATAAAGCTGCAGGATACCAATATATGTGTTCGTTCAGATAAGACTCCCCTCAGCTTGGTGAGAAAGATATTTAACTACTTCAGAATTGCCTGCCAGACATATGCCAGGAGGGGCCTTTGGCAGAAGAAGCCTTACATGCAGGAAAGGCAGATCCATAACCAGAATAAGTGTCTACTCCAGGAAGGACAAAGCGTTGTCCTTTCCATGAAGGAAGTGGTCCAGTATAGTCAGGTCGCTGGCTGCTCACCCCAGGGAATGGTGTCATATCTGGGGCTCAGTGCCTGGTTTCTGCTCTTGGCAGTTCTGGGGCACAGCAGCATCCATAGCCAGGTCAGCTTCCGTGAGTGGAAGTCCAGGGAGTTGAGGCCGTGTTTAACCCCCATTTTTCCACTATCATGGCCACTTTGTTCATGTATCCATTGAGCAGTGACAGGGATGGCTGGAGAGAGATGCTGACTGTCCACAGGACGGTCGTCCTATCAACTTGATTTCTGAACTCCTCCTCAGCTTTTGATGAGCATTTACATGGGACACAAACATCTTCACTTCTTTTGCCCATTTGAAGAGATCCCTCCACATACTTCTTCCCCAGATGTGTTTCTAACCAAGTTACCAGTCATGCGTTTTCCAAGATCCTCACCATCCAGCCAGCCCAATGGCCTACAGCTCATGAGTCAGTGAATAGTTGAGTATCTGGCCATTCCTCCTTCTAAACAAAATGTGTTCTACCTGAAGTTCCACCCACTGTGAAGTCCCTTCACCAGTGTCTTTCAGAGTTGTCCCCGTAATGCTGCAGCTGTCCGCTTTTGGGTGGTGCCTGCATGACATGCAGAACCATCAGTAAACCACACCCTAGTCTTCTTCAGTCAGCCGATCATAGGAAACACCCATGAGGCTGCCGGTGCATGCTGGGCAGCAGATGGCATTGTAATAGGAGTAGAAACCATAGGCATTTGGGCAACTTGTTCATCTAACTTGCTTGTGCCTTCAGAATCTGCTTGGGCGTGTTCCATTTGATAATAGGTGGCTGCTATGCACAACCTACTTTATGACTTGGTGGCTCAGATAACACCCAGCTCATGATGGGCAGCTCGGGTCTCATGGTAACATAGTGGCCTATTGTCAAATGTTCAGTTTCCACTATGACCCAATAGCAGACCAAGAACTGTCTTTCAAAAAGGGAATGGTTGTCTGCAGCTGATGATGGAGCCTTGCTCCAAAATCACAAAGGTCTCTTCTGTGATTCACCTACAGGGGCGTGCCAAAGGCTCCCAACAGCATCCCTTGTTCCCAAGCAGCCACTGACACTTCAAGTCCCATCGTGTCTGCTAGATTATATGGTCCAAGTGGTAGAGCAGCCTGGACCTATTGAAGAGCCTTCTCCTGTCCCAGACTCCACACAAAACTAGCAGCTTTCTGAGTCACTTGGTATATGGGTCGGAGTAACACACCCAAGTGAGGAATATGCTATCTCCAGAATCCGAATAGACCCACTAAATGTTGTGGTTCTTTCTTGGTGATGAGAGGGGCCAAGTGCAATAACTTATTTGTCACCTTACAATGAATATCTCTACATACCATCCTCCTGGAACCAAGTTCTGCCTTAGTTATGTTTTACTACTGTAAAGAGACACCATGACCTTAGCAACTCTGATAAAAAACAGCATCGGAGCTGGCTTACAGTTTCAGAGGTGTAATCCATTCTCATCATGGCAGCACACAGACAGACATGGTGCTAGAGAAGCGGTTTAGAATTCAATAGTCAGATCCACAGCAGCAGGAAGAGAGAGCCACTGGGCCTGACTTGGGCTTTTGAAACCCCAAAACCCATCCCCCAGTGACACACTTCCTCCAACGAGGCAGACAGTGTTCGGGTGTCATCCTGCCCTTGTGATAGAACACTCTGACCTGAAGCAACATAGGGGAGGAACCAGCTCATTTGGCTTACACTTACCAGTCAGGAGTCCATCTGTGAGGAAAGCCAGGGTAGCAACTCAAGAAGCAGCTTGAAGCAGAAACCACTGAGGAGTGCTGCTCTCTGGCTCGCTCACAGGCTTGTGAATTGCTAGCCTTCATATACAACACTGCCTGCAGCAGAACAGGCTCTGCTACATAATTAACAGCCAAGGCAATCCCCCCACAGACACGCCCACATTCCGGTCTGATCTGGACAATTCCTCAACTGAGAGACTCAGGGCTTCAGACTGTCAAATTGAGAGTTAAAGCTAACTCTGACGGTATGCTTAATTAGACACCACCTGGGCCTAATAAGGCTAATGGTAACAACTCTTCTTGATAGCCCTGGGGGGGACCTCGGGCGTGCCGAGGGCCACCCTCTTGGCTATGCACACCCTTCATTGCACGGAAGCTTACATGGCCTGGCTTCCCCCTGACCTGATATAAGACATTATTAACTTCATTTTAAAAGGTTCCCTTGGGTCTGGAGAGATGGGTTTTCAGTTAAGCGCATTGACTGTTCTTCCAGAGGACCTGAGCTGGACCCTGCAGGCACCAAGCATACATATAGAACCTGCATATGGGAATATACAGGCAAAATTCCCATATACATGTAATTTTTTGTTCGATATCTTATGAAGGTATGATTACTTAAAGTTAATGGTTATTACTAAAATCATCTATGTTCAGATATTCAAGTCTCTCCCTTTAAAGATGAGTTGTAGACCCTCTGAAAAAATAAACTGACCCCCACATGTCATTGGTTGTATGCTGCTTCTGACAAATGAAGCTGGAGAGGGAGGATGAGCAGTAAAATGTGGCCAAAGTGGGGCCTTTCCTCCAGGTCTTTGAACTGCTGCCCTTGCCATACCTGGCCTCTCTTCAAAGAAGTGCCTTCATTCTTGTCTTTTCCCAGACAAAAGATAGAGGAATTGGCGCGAAGAGTGGCTGAAGAGCGGAGTCGCAGGGAAGAGGAAGCCCGCAGGCTGGAAGCTGAGCAGGCGCGACAGAAAGAGGAGCAGGCGCTGCGTCTGGCTGAGGAGGAGCGGGAGCGGTGGGAGAGGGAGGAGGTGGAGCGCGTGCAGAAGCAGGTGTGGACCCTGCCCTCAACAGAGGCTGTCCTCAGATGAGTGGGGGTACAAAGCAGTTGTAGGCCCTGCCCCAGACGCTGGCTGTGTGCACCTGAGCAGGGTGCAAAGCACATACCGGCAGCTGCTCCACAGGGGTTGGCTCCCAGACCATCAGAGGGCCACTGCTCCAGAAGGGGTTTGTGGGGGTGGGAGAGGTGGTCTCCAAGATGAGTAAGGTGCTGTGTACCATCATGGTCTCTGCCTGCCTTCCTGCCTGACCAGTGTAGGGGCCTGGGTTGCCAGATTAGGGATAAGCAGTAGTAGCAATTTGTTTTCAGAAAGAAGAAGAAGCCCGAGCCCGGGAGGAGGCAGAGAGGGCTCGGCAGGAACGAGAGAAGCATTTCCAGAAGGAAGAGCAGGAGCGCCTGGAGAGGAAGAAGGTAGGGGCTGGGGCTGAAACCTGGAACCGGCTTGGTTTGGCTTCCTTTCTGGGTCTCAAGTTGCCCGAAGCCAAGAGACTGGTGCTTTGGTCAGGAACAAAATGTTCTATCCTTGCCCAAGAAATGGCCCTTGGTATTAGCTCCAAGAAAGCCGCCAGAATTTCCTCCTTCCCCAAAGCAAGTTATTCTACCACAGGAGCTAAAATGGTTTCAACCTCTATTAATAACTCCAATTAGGACGAATAACTGTGAATTATATTTTTTCCTCATTTTAATAATCTGATTTTTTTTTTAATCACCAGAATGTGCCAGGCTGGTGTGCTTTCTGTATCTCATCTCTCTTCTGTGTTCTTTTTTGCAGCGACTTGAAGAGATTATGAGAAGAACCAGGAGGACAGAGACAGCGGATAAGGTGCTGGCATGGCCTCTGTAGCTGCTCATTTGTTCTGGGAGGGCAGTCTTCTGTCCCTTGGGCTGACTTCACTGAATATGACCTTGGACATCTTACAATTTCTGCCTGCTCCCCAAGGGCTGGGGACAGCAAGCCTGTGCCCTGCTAGCTATAACTGTTCTTGATATGGCTTTATTTCCTTTTCAGTCACCCCCTCCCCCTTTAGAGATCAAACCTAGGTCCTTATAGGTAGGTATCCAGTGAGCACTCTCTACCACTAGGAACTTCCATTTAGAATTCAACGTTGGTTTCTTTCTTTCTTCTAGAAAACCACTGAGCAAAGAAATGGTGACATAGCCAAAGGAGTTTTCACTGGAGAGAGAGGTATTTCTTCTGTCAGTGCACGTGTGCATGTGTGTACCCACAGAGGCCAGAAGAGGATGTCAAATCAGGAGTTACAGCTGGTTGCAAATTGCCTGACATGGGTGATTTTAACCGCTGAGCCATCTCTCCAGCCCCTAAGGCAATGGTTCTCAACCTGTGGGTCACAACCCCTTTGGGAGTCAAAGAGCAGATATTTACATGACAACTCATAACAGTAGCAAGATTACAGTCATAAAGTAGCAACTAAAAGTATTTCTGGTTGGGGACACCACAACATGAGGAACTGTATGAAAGGGTTGCAGCTTTAGGAAGGCTGAGAACCACTGGTCTGATGGATGACCTTAAATGTACACATCTTGACAGGATTTTGTGTTTGGGCATTTTGTTTGAACTAGGGTCTCATCCTGTAGGACAGTCTAGACTTGAAATCACCATGTACCTGAGGAAAATCTTGAACTTCTTATCTTCCTTCCTCTGACTCCCAAGGGCTAGTGTTACAGGCCTACATCACATCTCCAGCTTAAATTTATGTGTTCATAACTTGTATTTATGATGAGTCTTAGAATAAAATATTTAAACATTATCTCTCTTAATCCTGACTTCAAAAGAGCGGTACACTTTAAAACATGCTGATTTCATCGTAACTTGTTCTTTAACCTGTAACTGTGGTCTTTGGGCAAATTATTGTTTCTTGGAGATTTTAAAACAAAAGTGGCTTAAATACAAATGGAATCAGCCTTAGGTTTTGTAGACCCATCTAGGATTGGTTTCATTTCTGTGTGAGGTTCTTGAATAGTCTCAATCTCATCCCGAATCACTGATGCACTAATGTTTGTCCAGAGAACACGCCTATGTTAGCCCTTTCACAGTTCTGTTTTGCTTTGCTCAGAATTGAACCAATTCAAGAGCACCAGCTCCTCCAGCTCCATTGCATAATGTGGTATTTCCAAGAACGTTACTGCTGATGTAGGCTATCAAAGATTAAACGACTTTTTAATATAGCCCACCCTAAATTTGAGTCAATAAGGTTGCCTTAAGCTGGACTCCCAACAGTAGAGTAGCAAAGTAGGTGGCAAAGCTAAGGACACACACTGTGGGCCTCCATTTGTGAAATCACATCCAAGTGTGACTGAACTCAGCTGAGCTTATTAAATATGGCTTCCTCTTCTATGGTGATTTGCTCTGAATCCTTCAGTAAAAGTTTCCTGTGTCAGCCAGTCAAGTCAGCTAGCCACTTCATCAGTTGGTTTGATTTCAGTGTTTATGTCCAGAACTTCATACAAACAAGAATAATAGTAACAACTATTTCTGCCCTTCAGTCAGTGAAACCGTTGCCCGTGTTAACACATTTAGTGTCTGTCAGGCAGGTACTGTTATCCAGGAAGGGTTAGGGTTTGACTTGTCCAATGGTCCACAGGCAGTACGTTGTAGTCAGGTCATGTATCCAAGTTCTGGTTCCTGGGGGGGTGGGTTTGATGGTAGCACATTAGTAACTGTTTGTTCTCCTTGCTGTGCGCAGAGGTATCTGCACTGCCATGCATGAGCTCTCCAGGAAGTGAAGAGTCTGCAGAGAGCCCACATGGAGTCGCTTCACAGCAGTCAGAAGTGACCACAGAGAGGTGAGTTCAACGACCGAGTCACTGAGGGGTATGTATGTGTGTGTATATTACAAAGTACTGCTGTGTTCATCCTACCCAGGTAGAATGCCAGAGTTTTAACTGGAAGGTTTATTTTTAAGTTGTCTCCTTAATTTTTTTTGTAGAACTTGTAACTCTAAATAAGAAAAGGGAAGTCACTTTTTTCTTTACTCTTCATGGTGAGGTTTGAGTGTGTATTAAGGAAAATTATAGCCAGCATCATTCCAAGAAGCAGTCCTGGCTTCTTGGAAATCTGAAGCAGAGGGAAAAAAATGCAAGGCCAACTTGGACTACAGAGAGAGCTCAAAGCTCTGCTTAGAACAGAGATGAAGGGGAGGTGGAAGGAGAGTCAACTCTTCCTGTACTAAGTGTGTCGAATGCTGGTGTTTTTGATGTATGGAAACACTGGGTACAATAACCCCAGGACTTAAGGAAACTGAGGCAGGAGATTATTGGAGATTTGAGACAGGTCAACACTACATAGCAAGACTGTTTAAAAACCAAAACAGATATTATGGTTGGTTTGTGACTGTAATTCCAATACATAGAAGACTAAAGAAATTGGATTCGAGGCCAACCTGGGCTACAGAGTGAGGACCCCCCCCCAACTCAACAACAAAGAAAGATACATAAAACAAAAACAAGAAAGTGGAGCACAGTGGCACACCTTAGTAATCCCAGAACTTGGAATATTGAGACAAGAATATCTGAAATTCAAGATTATCCTTGGCTATGTTTCATTGAGTCTAGCCTGATCTCCAGATTGAGACACCCTGTCTTCATACAGAGACAATGAGAACTAATTTACATCCTCACCAGCCCATGAGGATTTCTCCCTGCCTGTTGCATCCTTGCCAGGATCTTGTTCAAGCCCTAAGCCCCTCTCCTCACCCATATTCTTCCTACATAATAGATTCCCCACTAAAAACATAGAGAATTTTATGGGCATCAGATTCTCACACTGGTTGACCTGTAACTCACTATGTAGACCTGGGTAGCCTCATTTGCAGAGATCCTCCTGCCCTCTGCCTCCTGAGTGCTAGAAATATAGGTGTCTGCCACCATCCCCAGACTCACACAGAATTGAAAAAATTGAGCAAAATGTCTCAGCAGGTAGAAGTAAGTGTCCCCAGTCCCAATGATCTTGAGTTCCATCTTCAGGACCCACGTGTGAGAAGGAGAAAGCTGCCTCCCCAGGCTGCCCTCTGACCTCTGCTTGCACACCATGGCATGTCTGTGTCTGTGCCACACACAAATAAATAAATAAATGTAATTTAATTTCTCTTTAAGCATTGAAAGTCAGGCATGGTGGCACATGTCTTTCATTCCTGGCAGAGGCAGGTGGATCTCTGAGTTCAAGGCCAATCTGGTCTGCATAGTAAGTCCCAGGATAGCCAGGACTAAGTAGAGATACCTTGTCTCAAAATTAAAAAAATTAAAAATTGAAAAGCTGATGAGCTGCTTCTGTTGGTAATGACTTGTTCTAACAAAGTGTCCTATTTGGTGTTAGAAGTTTTTCGAATCAAAGATGCAAATTTGTCACAGCTCCCCATCCGTATTTACTAATAATGATACAGTCAATGTATTATTATTATTATTATTATTATTATTATTATTATTATTATTGGAGGACACGTATGTGTGGAAACTAGGGGACAATCTTGTAATGTTCTCCCCTTTCACTTTTATGTGGATTCTGGGAGCAAATCAGGTTATCAGGGCTGGCAGCATCTGGCAGCAAGTGCCTCCACCTCCTGAACCATCTTTATGGCCCCAAGTTTCCATTTTATTTCAAAGTCATAAACTTATTTTGAAATAATTGTTTGTTCTAAAAATAAGCTTAATTTTAATTCATCCTATGTTTGATCTTTCACATCCCCAGTTGTCCAGATTTGGAAAAACAGCCAAATGAAAATGGAATGTCTGTACAAAGTGAAAATTTTGAAGAAATTATAAACTTGCCTGTTGGATCAAAAGCATCCCGATTAGATGTCACCAGTGAGAGCCCAGAAATTCCTTTGAAACCAATTGTGGCCTTTAACGATGAAGGGACACTTGGGCCCCTACCTCAGGTAGACGGTGTGCAGACACAACAGACCGCAGGTGAGCTAGTCATCAACTGCTTGCTCTGATGGTCAGAACTGATACCCAAGAGAGAATGAATGCTTGTTTTGTTCTTTGAGGGAACAAGTAAGCCACTGTAGAAAAGATTGTGCGTGATCGTGGAAGTTGAGTTTTGAGAAGCTCTGGGCAACATCTAGGCCCTTCCTGCTTCCCCCACAGTCAGTCTGAGGCACCAGACAGTCTCCATGTTGGAATAGACGCCTCTGGGCCAGCTTCAATGGAAATAAAACCAGGCTTTGTCCCTCTTCCGTGGGCCATCAATACTTACAGACCACCTTGGGTTCTCGTGCCATTTTTCTCTCATTTGGGTTTGGCAACCATGGTCCACATGTTACTACTGTCTTTGTGAAGTACAGAACGATGCAGATAGGATAGCAACAGTAAGAACCAAGCTCCAGACCAGGATCTCACTGAGCCTGAGGTTCTTCTGCTCTGTGCTCATGATGGCTGAGCCTGCCTGTGCCTCTCTTATATAGTCTTCAGGACAAGTTGGCCTGAAGTCTTCGTGCAAAAAGAACAATAGCCATACAAGGAATAAAAACAAAGAGCCATATCAAATTTTACTAATTCAGTGGTCATTGCCTGCTCCATAACACAGCCCCAGCTCTGTCAGGGATAGGCCTAGCTCGCTCATGCGCTCTGGCAAGCCTGGGTTTTGTCTCCCTACCGTCCCAACAGATCACACTCATCAGCATTTCTTCATACTGTTCCTAGGAAGAGAACTGGCCAAATTCTAGTTACCGAAATGGAGTCAGTAGAGGACTATGGTCAAACTGTCTGTGAAGGCAAAACAACTTTAACTAGGAAGGCGTCCCTGAGGAGCCAGTCTCCTGTCTCCTCTAGGGTATTATTGGACTTTGTGAAATCCATCTTCTAGGCTGTAAAAGTGATCATACAGCCTCTGTGGCCTGGCCTCATGATTGCTAAGCCTTCAAAGCAGCCTGTTTAATGTTCTGCTGAGCCGGGCGATGGTGGCACACGCCTTTAATCCCAGCACTTGGGAGGCAGAGGCAGGCGGATTTCTGAGTTTGAGGCCAGCCTGGTCTACAGAGTGAGTTCCAGGACAGCCAGGACTACACAAAGAAACCCTGTCTCAAGAAACCAAAAAAATAAAATAAAATAAAAAATAAAAAAAACCTTTAATGTTCTGCTGGTGGAAACTCTGCATCTGCTGCTTCCTGATTTGCAGGGAAGAAGAAACTCCACCTGGCATTTACTGTCCGCCATCTTTCCCCAAAAAGTAGTTTAGGCTCCAATCTTAAGTGGTACACTGTTCCTTTGGGTGACCATTTATTTATAAACATTCCTTCGTCTTCCGTTGAAGTTTGGAGCCCTAAGCGTTGAACACTGAGGATACAAGACAAATGTAGTTTTCTTAGAGGTTATGGATTTAAATTATCTAAGCATGGTATTTCTAAGTCAGTGATATTCTCTAAGCTGAATGGAAAAGGTCTGCATTTTTCCTAGTACTGTCTTTGCACATGCTTATGGACCCTAACACAGTCTCCTAGTTTTATGTTTGTTTGGCTGTGTTTTTGTGGTGCTGGGGATCTAACCCAGAGCCTCATGCACCCTAGGCAAGCCCTCTGCCACTGAGCTATACTTCTAGCACAACTGCTTGTTCTTCTCTAGGATGCTATAGATAAGGGCATGGTGGGGCTTTCTTTTTTACAAATATAAGATATTGCCAGAGTAGTCAATTTTAGATGGGTCACATTAATCTGTTCTCTTTTCTGTTCCTTCATTAGAAGTTATATGAGCATGTCCTCTGAAGAACCAAAGCAAACGTTTTCTACAAGAAATGGAATTTCACCTCCCTCTGGTTTTCTAAAGAGTTCTTGACCGTCATTTTTAAAAGACGTATTAAAGACAGCTAAAGACAACAGACTCAGTAGCTTTTCTAGTCATTTTCGCCAAGAGGAAGAAATGCTCCTTAATCTGATACCCTGAGATGGTATTTTCCAACTTGTTCCTTCCTAGTAAATCAATATTTTTCTGTGTTCTTTAAAAAAACAAAAGACCATTTTATTATAAAAAGAAATGGACTGGCAAGGCATGATTATCACATAGATTTTTTTTTTCATTTTTAAACTTCAATATGTAAGATTGGCAAAAATAAAATACATTTTTACAATGTAATACTTGACAATGAGTACCTCTTTACTCTCCACATAGAGTGAGTGGAGGGTATTTAAACAAATCTGATTGGTTAAATAATACTTACTGCAAAAGCAGTTTGCAGAGACAGAAGGTGGCCAGGCTAACCCCACTCACCACAGCATCCTGAAAACCCCGCTCACCACGGCATCCTGAAGACCCCGCTCACCATGGCATCCTGAAGACCCCGCTCACCATGGCATCCTGAAGACTCCGCTCACCACGGCATCCTGAAGACCCCGCTCACCACGGCATCCTGAAGACCCCGCTCACCATGGCATCCTGAACCCCGCTGCCACAGTCTTCTGAGACTCCTTCTACGGAACTACACTGACAAGTTTGAAAATGTGAAAACATTTTTTTCAGAGCAAGAAAATAGTTTGCTGTCCTCTTTGTTTTTTGTTTTTGTTTTTGTCTTTTCCTACTTTTTAGAGAATGAGTTTCTCTGTGTAGCCCTGACTGTCCTAGAACTGGCTCTGTAGACCAGGCTGACCTTGAACTCCCAGAGATCCATCTGCCTCTGCTTCCTGAGTGCTGAGATCAAAGGCGCGTGCCAACCCTGCCTGGCTCAGCTGTCCTCTTAAGTGATGTATTTATAAAAGCTTTTTCTTCAGCTAGATAAATCAGAACAAGACAGGGTGCAGACCTGCTCTTGTAGATGCACTCCGCCTGCTGCCGAGGGAGCGTGGATGTCCTTGTGGGGCTCTCTGACGTTTACATGCTGCTGCCGCCCCCAGTGATGGTGGGACTTCTCTCTCTTTGCCTTACATGATCACAAATGATGTGGGGGAAGTAAATATTTAATATTCCTTTAGATCAAATAATTTGGTTCTGCTCGTTCCAGAGCAATGAAAAATAAATGATGTCATGTTAACATTGGGGGACAAGGACCATCACAGATGTCCTCGGTGTATAGCGACCATCAGCTTCTCCTGTCTTGTCATTCTTCACTCTTGCTGCTCAGCCCTGCTGTACAAATTTGCACTTTCATTTGCTAATATAAGTTCAATTTTATTTTCCCATTTAAGAGACGGTCGACCAATGAGAGATGGAGAAGGGAACCCCAAGGGCGTATCCCTCCCACTATGATGTATTGGTTTTATACAGAGCAATTGGTTAGTCTACAAGGTTTAATGTAAGACTATTCATCTATTGGGGTTCTTTTAAATCCAAGCATACAGTCTTTACAACAGTTTGTAATACTTTGTTAAAACATCAATTTATGGGGTTTCCCTATTAATTGGTTGTCCTTGTACATTTAGATATTGTATTAAAAAAATCTGTTCAACAAATTTGTTCTATTTAAATCTACCAAACATAAAATGCAAATAAAATGTTTGACATAGTTTTATCTTAGGGTTTCCTGTGGTTTGACTTCATTCAGGTAAATACACACGGACACACACATCCTGTCTGCACAGGAGGCCTCCTTCAGCCATGAGGCTAATCTTTCAACTTCCAAACTACACCTCTGCCCCATGATTGATTCCTGGGTCTTCACATTACTTTCCCTTTAACTTCAGTGCCATTTTTTCAGTATGTGGGAATTCTTGTATATGGAATCAGTTTATTTAAAATTCAAAGTAATCATTGTATTTTGTCTAAGCTGTCTTTTTATGTTTATATATTGGAGCTGATATATATGCTCACTAACAACTAAAAGCTTTCTAAGCAATCAGGTTTTAGTTGAAGGTGATATAAATGTTTCATTATATTCTGTTAAGAGCCACATTGCCAGACAGTGAGTTTGAGCTCTACAGTGACCGGGTTGCTTTTCTGTTGAGCCCTGGAAGACTGTGCTCTTACCCCAGGAAGCCCTCAGTAGGGTGCTCCATTTAGGAGGAGGAGTGCGGAATCAAACGTGGCCCTTAGCACAGATAGTTTTGAGTGCCTTTTAGTCTACACTACTGCACCCGTGTGTAGGCCAGTTTGGTCATTCTCCAATCAGAGGTTTACTTAAAAAGGAGCCTCTGGCTACTACAGGCAGGTAAACCTTTATGTTTCTCTGGCATTTCTGCACTACTAGGGGCTGGATCAAGTCCCCTCTGTCTACATAATGCTTCCACCAGCATCTTTACTGGAAGACTCAGTGAATTAGGTACCCTAGTTGAATTGGGCAACAGCATCTTAAACCTGAGTGGAGGCTAGAGGAGGGCTGTGAGTTTCTAATTAGATCTTACTTACCAGATCTGCTAGATTCTTAGACTTCATTTCAAGCATTTTGAGTCTTTTTTTTTTTTTTTCGAGACAGGGTTTCTCTGTGTAGCCCTGGCTGTCCTGGAACTCACTCACACTGTAGACCAGGCTGGCCTCAAACTCAGAAATCTGTCTGCCTCTGCCTCCCAAGTGCTGGGATTAAGGGCGTGCGCCACCACTGCCCCGAAAACATTTTGATTCTTAAATTTTTATTGACAACTGTTTCCCCTCCAAGCTGAGGAAAAATCTGTAATATTCCTATGCTAAACAACACTGATGTTGGCATGGATGATAACTTAATATTTCATATAACTAAGGAACTCTCAGAGCAAGATAAAAGTTGAGTTACATGTGTTTAAGTATTATAAGATTTTATGGTTGAGGGAAGGGGTGCTGCTGTCTGAGATGGGGTCTATCATACTGTAGTCCAGACTCACCTCAGACCCACCATTCTCATGCCTCACCCTCCTGAGCCTGGAATTACACTGTGGTGCCACAGCCAGGTCACATTCAAAGTTTATAATTCCAACTTTTAAATGCACTTCTTTAAAATGGTCTAGCTCTTTAAAATGTGTAGCTCAGGCTGGCCTTGAACTCAGGGCAATCCAGCCTCAGCTTCCTCCCGAGCCTGCTATTGCAGACTCTGCCACCACAACTCAAATTATTGCATAGTAAATTTAATAGCCAATAAGTACACATATCTTAATGCAACATTTTGAAAAATAATCTTATTCATCTATTTGGTGCTCGGTTCTTTTCATTATTTTAATTTTTTTAAATACATGAATGCTCTGCTGCATATACATCCACAGGCCAGAAGAGGGCATCAGATCCCCTTATAGATGTTTGTGAGCCACCATGTGGTTGCTGGGAATTGAACTCAAGACCTCTGGAAGAGGAACCAGTGCTCTTAACCATTGAGCCATCTCTCCAGCCTGCCTCAGGTCATATTTTATGGCTTACTTACTCTTGCAATTGCTCTCTGTGAGGCAAGATTTTGGTAGTCTCAAATTTGCCATTCTCCTGTCTCTGTCCCCTCCTCGGCACCTCCTACACACACGCACACGAACACACACACACATAATTTCTCTGTATAGCCCTGGGTGTCCTGGAATTCACTCTGTAGACCAGGCTAACCTTGATCTCAGAGTTCCATCTGCTTCTGCCTCCTGAGTGTTGGTATTACAGTTGTGTGCCACCACCAACCACCACCACCCCCCCTTGATGGAAACTGACTACTGTTAAGCCTTTTCTGTGCTATCACAGCTGTAAGTACAGCCATTGGAGCTTGTTAGCAGAAGTGTGTGTTGGAAGATTAGCTCTCAGGAAACATCTCCCTTCTTCCCCTCTGCTTTTATTATGAAAACAAAAGCACACTTAGAAATAAGGTCAAGCTGGGAAGATGGCTCAGCCATCAAAGGCTAGGTCCGTAACCAAGATAAGGAATGTTCTAGATTGTTATCTCCTTACACCTAGTTGGCACCTCATTGGTTTGGAGGAGACACTCTGAAGGCTTGAGGAAAGTGGGAGAGAACATCATGTGACCAGAAGGGCTATTTCATGTTGAGTGCAGGTAAATTACCTTGTTAATTATTTCCTTGAAGACTCTGGTTTTATGTTTAACAGATTTGACCACAGTCTTAACAGTGATAGGTCACTTAGCAATTAGTGCCAAGATTAAGAAAGTTAAGGAGAAGTTTACATTGCTGTTTAAAAGTATGCACAAAAGTAGCAGCCGGGAAGTCACGTTTGAGTGGCTCTCTGACGATTCGCAGGATAGCTGAAGGAGAGGGCTGGAAGACAACCATGTCTAAGGACCTGGAGCCTTACTTGCAGAAACCAGCTCTGTTGCTAATTAGCCACAGACAGCTTGGTGAGTTGCTAGTGTTTCTCCTTATCTGGATGTTTCTCTCTAAATAGGAAACTAATGCCCATCTCAGGGTTATCATAGTATCTAGAGTTGAACCATATAGTCTTTTTTTTTTAATGGAATTTTTTTAAGATTTTATTTATTTTATGTTTATGATGAGTACACTGTAGCTGTCTTCAGACACACCAGAAGAGGGCATCAGATCCTATTGCAGATGGTTGTGAGCCACCATGTGGTTGCTGGGAATTGAACTCAGGACCTCTGGAAGAGCAGACAGTGCTTTTAACCACTGAGCCATCTCTCCAGCCCCAAATGATAAAGTCTTAAGCACATTAGTAATTGTTCAGTAAATGATACAATGTTTTTAGATGCATGAGAAAGATGGCTTTGGGGAGGGATTAGCAGGAAACCTAGGTGGGTGGAATGTCGCTCTCTGCGCTGTTTCTGACAGTACCCTGAATGGCGTAAGCGTTTTTTTACTGAGATGCCCAGTATGTGCATAATACCAGACGAGCTAAGCAGAAAGGAACCGGTGTACTGTTGTGTTTTATCTTCACTCTTCCCTCGGGCTCTCTCAAGAATTACAGTTACTTGTTATTTCAGTATATTTGAGGCATTTCCTGACATCCTTCCACCCACTTGTCCTGGTGACACCAGGGATGCTGAGTGTTTTCCCACTGATCTCCATCAGTCTTGGCCACAGGAGGCTCTCGGAGGAAGCTGGAGAGGCAAGTGGTTTCTAGGACACTCAGTGAGGGAAGGACGGAGCAAATCATGCTCTGGCTTTATTTAGCAATGGCTTTTCCTCCCTATGAGGACTTGCCTTAACAGGAGATACCAGAAAAGAGGGGTTAGGAAGATAAAGGCTGGGCCCAGGGCATTAACTATGCCCCACAGTTGTGTAGTTAATTGATGGACAAAAGGAAAGCCAGCCTGGGATTCTGCAGGACACATTTCTCAGCTGCTTTTCTGGAAACATTCATTTAGTGTGGTGTGAAGGTTGACCTGAAGTTGTATGTCTGAGCAGTCATCCCAAGTGATTCTTAAAATCCAGCTTCTCTAAAGGTGTGTGTGTGTGTGTGTGTGTGTGTGTTTGTGTGTGTGTGTATGTGTATGTGTGTTGGTCTATTGTGTGTGAATATACGGGTGTATCTGTGTGTGGTTTGTGTGTGTGGTATGTGAATATGTGTGTGTAGTGTGTGAACATGTGTGGGTGTGGGTATATCTGTATGTGGGTGGTGTGTGTGTGTGTGTGTGAGAGAGAGAGACCTGTACCAGGGCTGATGTGTTGAAGTGACATAAAGACACTTACCTGGTACTTTGACCCAA